TTCGCGTTTAGTGAGGTCTTAGGCCTCATCACCATCCCCGCCCCTCATCCCCACCCCTCACCATCCCCACCCTCCCCATCCCCATCCCCCACCACGAGTATTTTTTTTTTCAAATAATATGAGGAACCGCCCGGCGGGCTCCAACATCAACACACGTTCATCCCGCGTAACTCAGTTGGTAGAGTGACAGACCCTTAATCTGCTAGTCTTGGGTTCGAGCCCCAACGTGGGAACGTAAACTTTTTGTTCGCCACCTCCATTTTAAGCCCTCGCGCAAACCCTCCGTCTTCCCCTTGACTTGTGGTTTTGCTCTTCTCCTTCTTAAGGTTAGAGAGAGAGAGAGAGAGAGATTTTTAGCAATACTTTTTGAGATTTTTAGCAATCTTAAAGAGAGGTTACGGCGGGTAAGGTCCGTTAGCGGGAGATCGGCGGGAGCGGCGCACGTTTCGAATTCGGCGGGCGTTTCGAATTTGTCGACGGACCGTTTCAGGTCGCAATACCAAACAACTCTCTCAAGGTTAGCAGTTCGCAAAAAAAATCAAAAGTTGAAAAAACCTCAAACCCTTCGGGTCGCTCCTCATCGCAAACCCTGTCAGCAGAGTCTCCTACGGGAATGTACGTAAGAGCTACATACACTGAAAAAAAATCGTATGTGGATGCCAGTATATATGCCGATCCCGCGCGTCGTGCTCCTGCCGCTGCTCGCCGCTTCGGCTCGAGCCCGGTCTCCGCTGCACAGCGCCGCCGAGGCGGGCAACCTCGATGCCCTCGACCGTGCCATCCTGCACGCTGCAGACCTCGCCGCGCCCGACGGCGACGAGTACACTGCGCTGCACCTCGCCGCCGGCCTCGGCCACACGGATGCTGTGCGGAGGCTTCTGGCGGCCGGCGCGCCAGCGAGCTCGCGGGATGACGTGGGAGAGACCCCGCTGCACCTCGCGGCGGCGGCGGGCCGACTGGAAGCGGCGCGGGCGCTGCTGGAGTCGGGCGCAGCTGTCGACGCCGCGTCGGGCGCCGGCTACACGGCACTGCACATGGCTGCGCAGCACGGGCACGTCGCGCTCATCGAGCTGCTTCACGGCGCCGGCGCCGCCATCGGCGCAGAGGCGGGTGGCCGCGCGACGCCTCTGCACTGGGCGGCGGCGGGTGGGCGGGCCGACGCCTTCCTGGCGCTCCTCAGTCGAGGCGCCAGCCTGCACGCGGCCGACGAGAGCGGTGCCACGCCCCTGAGCCTGGTGGAGGAGGGCGGCGACGCCCGGATGATGGCGACCCTCCGGCGCGCGGTGGCGGCCGAGCGAGAGAGGCGTCGCAGAGCCGCAATGGCCGAGGGCGGCGGCGGCGGCGGCGCGCGCACAGCTGGTGAGATTGTGCGAGATGAGTTGTGACCGAGAGGCGCGGCGGGCCCAGCCGGCCGCCGCGGGCGACGTACGGCGTACGGGGTCGAGAGAGAGGGAGAGCTAGACCTCGAGGAGAGCTAGACGGCGTAAGAGAGGCATGAGAGAGGCCGTCGACTGGCCCTCTCGTGTGCGGCGAGAGAGCGCTCCCGAGTGTGCCCGCGCGCTGCCACCGAGCAAACAACATACGTACAATGGGAGCGCCAGCGCCGAGCTTTGTTTTGGACCATGGAGAGAGAAGGCGCCGACGGCTATACACAACACACTGTCGCCTCGAGACTGTCGCCCCCGCTGTGAGTGTGTAACCCCTGCGTGGCGGAGCGGTGTGTGTGTGCCATGCGCAGCCCGCGCTTGAAGGCCATACACGCTGTCCGCTGGTAAGACTCACCGCGCCGCGTGCACGTGCAGCGCCGCCGCGGTCGCGCTCGCCAGAAGCTGCAGGTCCGTGATGCCAACCGGGTGGTTGACACCCTGCGCCCCTCGCGCCGGCTGGTTGGACGGCGCGGGCGGCGCGGCAGGCGCGCGGGGTCCGCCTCGCTGCCCGCCGCCGTTCGACGCCGCCTCGCGCGCGTTAAGCATCCGCTCGCGTGCATCCAGTTCGGCGGCTCGCTGTTCGAGGGCGGTGGTCGCCGCGTCGAGCTCGCTCTGTTTCCGCGCGAGGTCGGCGGCAAGAGCCGCCACAAGAGCGTTGACGTGAGAGGACGCCTTGCGCAGCTCGTCCAGGACAGGCAGGGCTGAGGATGGCATATACACCGTGAGCGAGCACGCCTTGAAATAAGAAACAGCCATGTGCCCTCCACCCTTCAGGCACGGATCATTGTGTGTGCTTGTAATGTACTTTTAGCTTACTGGGAGAAAAGTGTTTGTGTCCGCACAGACGCTGTCGTGGGATCGCTTGTCATGTGCACCGGTCACTCCCTGTGACACTCGAAAACGATGCGCTCACATACCCTCCCAAGACGCTTTCGCGAAGAGTCCCATCCACGCCGAGCGCGGCATCGCGACCGATGCCTTGAACTCGAGCGACATGATGGACTTGTGCAGGTGGAACGACACCTCCAGCGGCGGTGCATTGCCCCCATCGCCGCCCTGCTCTTCCGGCAGACCGAGGCCCCGGATGAACTGCCTGAGGCGCTCTTTGGCGCGCCCCCATGGATCGAACATCGCGGGTTGGCCGTTGCCATGGTGGCTGAAGGCATAGCCATCCTCGATGCCGCCGGACTCCCCCACGGTACCTTCGACGTAAGCGGGCTGACGCGGGCGGATGATGAAGCAGATGCGACGCGACGTCTTATGAAAAAGCGCCATGAGCGTCGTCGCCGTCGAGCTGTGCAGCAAGCCCATCCTCTGATCAACGAGAACATTTCCTGCCCGCGAGCTGCCCCTGGCGGACGGCTCGATCTGCGTGATGGGTTCCCACAGCGGGGTAACGTCCATGGGAAGTTCGAAGCAGTAGTCGCCGTCGTGGTTGCGACGGTCTTGCGGCACCTTCGTAGCGTCGAGCGGCTGCACTTCAGCGATGGTCCGACGGATGCTGGAGACGAGGCGGTGCGGCGGGTTATCCTCGCACTGCACGAGGAGAGTCTCGGCCTCCACGACTAGCATCAGGTCGTCCGGGAATGGCGCAGCCGGCCACGGAGGGTCATTGAGATCCGTCACGTTGCCAAACAGATCGCCGAGCGGCGTGGGAGGCGACTCGCGATCGTAGCGACCATCGAGGCCACGTGCATAGGCGAGATAGAGGCCGCGCGCGTGGGCTACGCTGAACTCTGACGGGCGTGGCAGCTTCATTCAGGCTCGACGGCCACTGCGAGCACAGCTGCAGCCAGAAGTCCTTCTCGCCGTAAAAGTCTCGCCACGATGTGCACACGTGAGGTGCTGGCGCGAAGGGACACGCACGATGCAGTTGCTGCAACGCGAGACGGACGAGTTCACGAGGCAGCGCATCATTCAGCGGCGTCGGAGTGGAGTGCGACGCGATGGACATTATTCTGTCGTCGCCAATGCCCTCGGGCCGCTCCGGCAAGGTCACCACCCCCTCGTGCACGCCCGCCTGTGCGGGAGCACGGGCGCGGCGCAAAGCCGCTCGCCGCCCGAAGGACTGGGATCCACGTCTATCTTATCGAGATCCTTTTATTTCCGGAGGCAAGCAAAGCGGCGGAGCGGATTGCGGCGATGATATCGGCGGTCCCTGCTCACGCCCGGTGGCGGTGCAGGCTCGCCGCGACCGCGCTGATTTCGGTCGTGGCCTTTGCCACCGTTGCTCTCGCTGCTGCTCCTTCGCTCGTCTTGGAGCGTGCCTTCTGGGATCGGTTGGACAGGGTTCCGTCTGCGCCTCCTCCGCCGCCGCCGCTCGTGCCAGTGCAGCCAAGCGTAATCTCAAGTATCGAAGAGGCCGTGCAGGCGCAGGCAGCCTCGCTCGCGGACGGGACGTGGGCGGCAGAGGTCGCACCAGAGTTTGACGCGGCTCAGGCCGACGCGCCGATCGTGGCCATGTGCTCGGAGTGCGAGCGGGACTGGGTGGTGAGTGGCATCGCTGGCCTAGTTACGTCAGTGGTGAAGGGCGCCGTGAATCTGGCTGAGTTCCCGATGAGCGTGGACCAGCTTCTGCCAAAGGGGTCGCACGTCGACCTGCTGGGCATGCCGGGCCAGCGCATCGAGCTCACCCATGCGTCGGTCGAGTACGTGAACCCGACGACCATCCACCTCGGCCTCTGCCGCAACGACATGGAGTGGTTGCGCGAGCAGGAGCCCGCCATGCAGACGCACCCGACACGGCGCTGGCTCACGGCACTGCACATGGCACACGGCGTTGGCACACAGCACATGGCACACGGCACACGGCTCTCTCTCACGCACGCACACACACAACTGCTGCTGCCCCTCCTCGGCAGGACCCGGCGACCCAGCTCTACGAGCGCGCGGCGCGCGGCAACGACAACCTCGAGGTGCTCCTCACCCGGATCGACACGGCGGTGAAGGTCCGCTTCCGCGTCCATCAGGAGAGCCTGTTTACCACGGTGACGGTGGGCTGGGGCAGCGTGACCGTATCGCTCATCGGCCTGGTCCGCGCGCCCTCGACCTCGGGCGCACCGCCGGGCGGCTCTGACTCGCACAGCCGCGAGGCACAGGTGGACGTGCACCTCGACCTAAAGCACATCGAGGTCGCCGCCATCAACGAGTGCGACGGCAAGTTCGCCATCGACGGCCCCATCGCGCCGTCTGTGGACGGCGTCAGCGCCGCGCTCCTCGAGGAGCCGCATGCGGATCTCTCGACTTCCTCGCTCTTCCCCTCTCTCTCTTTCTCTCTCCACCTCTCTCCCTCTCCCTCCCTCCCCCCCACACGCACACACGCACACGCGCACACGCGCACACACGCACACACGCACACGCGCGCACACACACAGCTGCTGCCGCTCCTCCCGGGTGAGTAGGAGCCTCTGCGGATGGCGTTCGAGTCGGTCGTGCAGCAGCTGGGGCCGATCCTCTGCTTCGGCAGCCGCCACCTCGCGCTGCACAACGTGGAGGAGGGCACGACCACCCGGATCGGCGGCCTCGTCTCGGCCCTCAACGCTGCGCTGAGGCAGCACCCGGTCCTGCTCGGGACGCTACTCATGCCGCTCGGCGGGGACCCGGTCCGGTCCGTGCTGGCCGAGACGGCGGGCGGCGGGAAAGGGTACGCAGAGATCGACCGGGAGGCGGTCGCATTGGCGAGGGAGGAGAGCACGCGGCTGCGAGCGGCGGGGCGTGGCGAGCGCCAGCCTCCTCACGGCCGCGCCTCGGCTTGCGGAATAGGACATCGCCAAGCTGCGCAGCGTTGGCGTCGTGAAGAGGCTGGGCGAGGGGCGGTTCGCGAACATCGTCGACGCGGACGGGGACGGCGTGTACCAGCTCCAGGCCCCAAATGACGTGTGAGTGTTAGATTTGTTTGGTATTGCTAAAAATCTCTCCCACCTCATGCCGCCGGCGGGCGAGAGCGCACGCGCGGCGTGAGAAACACACGTGTTGCGTGTTGGCTAGATCTCTCTGCCGACCGCCGAAATCCACATTCACCCACGCGCACGTTGCGTGCGTTTTCTTATCTCACTGGTTCGCGGGCCGAAGCGCGGCCGGCGGCATGGCCTTCGCCTCGCAGCTGTGCACCGCGGAGCTGTCGAGCGCGTGGGCCGCCTATGTGGTCATCGTCGTCGGCGTGATTCTTGTCGCTTGCTCGGTTTACCAGGACGACGCCGACAGGCCGCTGTCGTTCATCGCGTGGGTGGCCTCGATCTCGACGCTCGGCTGCCTCCCGTGCACGCTGCTGCTGATCGCGGCGCACGTGAGAGAGTGGAACCAGCCAAAGCTGCAGCTCTGCGTGGTGCGCATCGTGATGATGGCGCCGGTGTACGCGCTCGACTGCTGGCTCGCGGTCATGAAGCGCGGCTCAGTGATCGCGGACGCGGCACGCGAGTGCTACGAGGCGTTCGTCATCTACCAGTTCGTGCTGTACCTCACGTATGCGCTCGGCGGCGACGGCCCCATTGTCGTGCTGCTGCGCGCAAAGGAGCCGGTGCCGCACTTTTGGCCGCTGAACCACTGCCTGCCGCAGTGGCAGATGGGGCGGCAGTACCTCTCGGTCTGCAAGCGCGGCGCGCTGCAGTACGTGGTGCTGCGGCTCTGCACCACCGCCCTCACCTGCGCGCTCGCCCTCCTCTCCGCCTCTGGCTACTGGCTCGGCCGGCTCAAGGCGGGGCAGCACCTCTCGCTCACGCCGCTGCTCGCGCTCCTCAACACGCTGTCGCAGGGCTGGGCGATGTACTCGCTCATCATGTTCTACCGCGCCGTCCGCGCCGAGCTCGCGCCCTTCCGCCCGCTGGGCAAGTTTCTCTGCGTCAAGGCGCCCGCTGAAGAAGAGACTCTCCCTCTCCAAAACCGACTCACACCCACGCCCCGACGGGCCCGGACCGCGCCCTAAGCCCGAGTGTGTCTGCCAAGGCGGTCGTCTTTTTGACGTTTTGGCAGAGCATGGCGCTCGACCTGCTCTCCGCCTGGCTGAACAGGGAGCCAGACATGTCCATGTCTCACGACCCGCCCGGCCGAGGTCACTGGTGGAGCGTCGACGAGGTGCGCATGTCCAAGGGCGGGCTGCTCTGCCTCGAGATGCTTGTCGCCTCGCTCGTCCACCCGTGCGTCCTTTCCGCCGAGGACTGCTCGTTGAGCCATTCCCACTCCAGTCGACACCCCTTCTCGTCATAGGTGCGTCTTCTCGGCGAGCGACTACGCCTCCGGCTCGCCGGCGCCGCGCAACGCGCCCACCTCGCTCTCGCTCACGCTGTACGAGGCGCTGGTGCCAAAGGACACGTACGCCGACATGCAGCAGGCGAGCTGGGGCGTGCTGCACCCGCGCAAGCTGGGCATCCGCTCGCCGCGCGGCAAGGAGAGCGGCGGCGGGGCGGCGGAGGGCGAGGGGTCGCCGGGGGAGGAGCCGCCGGGGGCGGGGGCGGCGGGGGGGTCGGGACGGCAGGAGCAGGCAGGCCCGAGCCTAGCCGCGAGCACGGTGTGATGAGGTGCGTGTTGGAGGCGAGGAGAGAGGGGCGAGAGGGGGAGGGGGGGGGGGGGGGGTTGTTGGTCGGTGTCGTATTCGACATGACAATGTGGGAGGATAAGGTTACCCAGCTCCCAGGAGCCACGAAAAGAGCCGGCCGCCGCGGTGTGTGCGGCGGCGCCGCCCGCCGCGGAGCGAGAGGTGATCGCGACGCGGCGCGCGGCGGCGATCCGCGCAGAGTCGGCTGGGGCTCTACACAGGCCGGGCCGCGTACAGCCGCTGACAGGCGCTCCGCCGGGCGCATCCGAAAAGTGAAAGCGAAAGAAAACACCCCCCCAAAATATATGTGCCGGGGCGCGCCGAGGCCACGCGTCTCCCGTCTCACATCGTTCGCAATGCTTGCATCCGCTTTCGCCCTCCGAGCTCGCCGCTGGTCAGAATCTGGTCCGCGCGCTGGGCCATGCGTGCGGCCGTCGCCTCGTGGCGCGAGGCGGCCTCGCCGGACGCGCGTGGCGGCTGCCCGCTCACGTTGTGGGGCGGCAGCAGGTTGGTCGTCTCGCCCGGGTCCGCCTCGAGGTCGAAGAGCTCGGTGGCGCGTTGGCTGCCGTGCGCGAGGCTGATCAGCTTCCAGCGCGACCACCGCAGCGCCCAGCTCGGCGGCGACGGCACGAGCAGGTCGGACCGGGCCGGGTGGCCGTCGCGGGGTCGGAGCAGGCGGCGCTTGAAGCTGACGCTGTCCGCTGCCTGGCCGGGAGCGGGCGGCGCAAGGCCGGCCAGGTCGAGCAGGGTGGCGTAGAGGTCGGTGAGCCCGACCAGGTCGCCGCACTCCCCCCCGGCGGGCACACCGCCCGCCGGCCACGCTACCAGCAGCGGCACCCGGTGGCCTCCCTCGTAGAGGTCTCCCTTGTGCCCCCGCAGGTGGGCGCTAGAATTGGCGCCGCAGAGCGGCGACTGCAGCCCGGACCGCTCGGGCGAGACGTCCTCAAACGGCGGCGCGGGTGTCTCGGGCGAGGGCCTCCACGATCCGTGCTGCTTGGTCGCGCAGCTGAGTCCGCCGTTGTCGCTCGCAAAGACCACAATCGTCTCGTTGAGCTCGCCTGCGGAGCGGAGCGCCGCCATCAGCGCCCCGACCACCGCGTCCAACTCCGCCACCATGGACGAGTGGGGGACGTGCAGCCGGCGCGGCGCCGCCACCTCGCTGGTGGCGACCCATGTGCGGATGTCTGCGTCCCGGAACCGGTCGGGCGGCGTGAAGGGCGCGTGCACCGCCGCGGTGGCGACCAGGGCAAAGAAGGGCGGCTGCGGCCCGCGTGCGCGGCGGCGCCGGTCGAAAAAGCCGAGCGCAGCTTGCGAGAGGTGGGCGTCGGCCATGTGCCCCTCCCAGTCCGCCGCGCCGTCGTGCCCGTCCCCTGCACCGCACGGCGTGTACCGGCGGTGGCGCAGCCCGGTGCCCGCAAACTTGCCCGACACCCAGTCGCCGGTGCGCGTCGCGTGGGTCGCCGTGCCCCAGCAGCGGCTCCCGCGAGGAAGCGACGCCACGCTGCCATTGAACCACGCGTACGGCGGCGATTGGATCCCCGAGACCATCGAGAGCGACTCGTCAAAGCCCCACTGCGCCGGGCCGTCGGCAAGCCTCCGCCCTCGTCTTAGCAGCCAGTCGACCCTGTCGTCCTCGGTCGAGCGGCGCAGCTCATCGGGTAGCGCGGCGACCTCCCCTCCGATGCCCGCCTTGCCGAGCAGCAGGGTCGCGTGGCCAGGACGGCCAGCCGCAAGAGGCTGAGTCTGTCAAAGTAGCTGGCCACAGCGGGATCGGGCTCACCGAACGGGAGAAGGCCACTGATGGCGGCCCTGCGGAATCTGACCCACGACGGTTGCATCCCTGGAGGAGGAGGGGGAAGATTGAGGAAGGCCGGATTGCCCACCGCCGACCACGGAATGAAGCGCCGGGTAGAGGCTACCACTGCTGAGTCGACGGGCATCACCAATGGCTTTGCGGGATCGGGGCTCTGCTCGGCCGGAATGCTGAGCTCGGCGACGGCGAGGTCCGGCATCGCGGCGCCGGTCGTCTCGTCGAGCGGAGGGCTGCCTCTCGACTACTCTACTCCCGTGTCACAAAACGAAGCACGAGAGCGTGCTCGACAGAGCGACAGCGCAGCGCACTGCCGTCCAGTCGGCGAAAGGGACGGCTGCTGCGCAAAGTGATCAGTTCTAATGAATGTACCGGGGCCCGACGGATAGATGAATCCGGGGCACCCTCCGCTCGAATCCCTGGCTAGGGGTTCGAGGTGGCCCCCAGCCCCACCCTGCGGGGCCTCCCATCAAAGCACAAAGGGACTGGCAGAAGAGACGCCCAATCTTGCACAAGTGCGAACCATACATAAAACGAAAACGAAAAGAATTTTAAAGAAACGCCCATGAAACGCCGCGCCCCAGAATCTGGTCCGCGCGCTGGGCCATGCGTGCGGCCGTCGCCTCGTGGCGCGAGGCGGCCTCGCCGGACGCGCGTGGCGGCTGCCCGCTCACGTTGTGGGGCGGCAGCAGGTTGGTCGTCTCGCCCGGGTCCGCCTCGAGGTCGAAGAGCTCGGTGGCGCGTTGGCTGCCGTGCGCGAGGCTGATCAGCTTCCAGCGCGACCACCGCAGCGCCCAGCTCGGCGGCGACGGCACGAGCAGGTCGGACCGGGCCGGGTGGCCGTCGCGGGGTCGGAGCAGGCGGCGCTTGAAGCTGACGCTGTCCGCTGCCTGGCCGGGAGCGGGCGGCGCAAGGCCGGCCAGGTCGAGCAGGGTGGCGTAGAGGTCGGTGAGCCCGACCAGGTCGCCGCACTCCCCCCCGGCGGGCACACCGCCCGCCGGCCACGCCACCAGCAGCGGCACCCGGTGGCCTCCCTCGTAGAGGTCTCCCTTGTGCCCCCGCAGGTGGGCGCTAGAATTGGCGCCGCAGAGCGGCGACTGCAGCCCGGACCGCTCGGGCGAGACGTCCTCAAACGGCGGCGCGGGTGTCTCGGGCGAGGGCCTCCACGATCCGTGCTGCTTGGTCGCGCAGCTGAGTCCGCCGTTGTCGCTCGCAAAGACCACAATCGTCTCGTTGAGCTCGCCTGCGGAGCGGAGCGCCGCCATCAGCGCCCCGACCACCGCGTCCAACTCCGCCACCATGGACGAGTGGGGGACGTGCAGCCGGCGCGGCGCCGCCACCTCGCTGGTGGCGACCCATGTGCGGATGTCTGCGTCCCGGAACCGGTCGGGCGGCGTGAAGGGCGCGTGCACCGCCGCGGTGGCGACCAGGGCAAAGAAGGGCGGCTGCGGCCCGCGTGCGCGGCGGCGCCGGTCGAAAAAGCCGAGCGCAGCTTGCGCGACGTGGGCGTCGGCCATGTGCCCCTCCCAGTCCGCCGCGCCGTCGTGCCCGTCCCCTGCACCGCACGGCGTGTACCGGCGGTGGCGCAGCCCGGTGCCCGCAAACTTGCCCGACACCCAGTCGCCGGTGCGCGTCGCGTGGGTCGCCGTGCCCCAGCAGCGGCTCCCGCGAGGAAGCGACGCCACGCTGCCATTGAACCACGCGTACGGCGGCGATTGGATCCCCGAGACCATCGAGAGCGACTCGTCAAAGCCCCACTGCGCCGGGCCGTCGGCAAGCCTCCGCCCTCGTCTTAGCAGCCAGTCGACCCTGTCGTCCTCGGTCGAGCGGCGCAGCTCATCGGGTAGCGCGGCGACCTCCCCTCCGATGCCCGCCTTGCCGAGCAGCAGGGTCGCGTAACCTGCCGCGCGGAACGACTCCGCAATGGTCCGCTGGCCAGGCAGGAGCTGCGAGCCTCCCGAGAGGTCCCACGAGGACGAGGGCCGGCGGCCCCGAAAGACGTAGTTGCCAGAGAGGAGGGAGTAGCGGCTCGGCGAGCAGATTGGGTGCGCGTGCGCGTCTGTGAAGCGGACGCCCGCTGCGGACAGCGCCGAGATGGCCGGCGTCGGCACCAAGGCGGAGGCTGAGTACGCCTCGAGGTCGCCGACGCCGAGGTCGTCCGCGAGGAGGATGAGAACGTTCGGCGGCCGAGCGCGTGCGAACGACTCCACGAGCGGGAGGAGCAGGGAGAGAAGCTGTTCCCCGGGAGGTGGCGTTTTTTTTGCTTGGGCGGCCCTCATGCTGAAATTCTGCAAAAACCCTGGCCGGCCCCTGCGGTGCCCCTACCTACCTACCTACCTACCTACCTACCTACCCTACTTATGGGAAACTAAAAAAGAAATCACTCGATGGGTGAAGGTGGGGTACTATACCAACTAGAGTGATGGTTGGTGGTACTCTCCTGCATCCACAGTCCTTCTTGTGACATGGGAGGCCACTCTCAAGCCCTACAAGCATCAGATCACCCATTTGGGGAGGGTTGACATCGTGATTTCCGCGGAAAATTTCTTTTTCTGAAAATTCCAGCTTGAAGAGAGGGAAAAACCCGACGGGAGGGCCCAGACCTACCCTACCTACCCCGGCATGAGGGCCGGCCAAGCAAAAATAAACGCCACCTGTCCCCGAGGCACTTTGTGGCGCTACGATTTGGATTCTACCCGGTATGGTATCTAGATAGGGATCCCTCAAACCGCCAGTCCGCGCCCTTGTCGTGCCAGTGTGCTGTGAGAGAGGCTTGTATTTTAAGAATTCTACTCAAACCTAGGTCGGGGTGGTTGGGGAAGGGCGTAGACCTTAGTTGAGGGGTTCGATTGAGGGGTTGAGGCTTGAGCCCCCCCCTCAACCATCTGGTTGACGGTCTCGGTTGAGACCCCCCGTCAACCCTTTAGTTGGGGGTTGAGGCCTCAAGGGCCTATTCACAGGCTCGCGCGTGATCACAAGTCACAAGAATCAAGATAAATTGGAACAGCCCTGCCGCCAAAAAATCGCTTCGCCTGCGGCGCGCTCTTGCGCTCCTCGTACCTCGAGCGCAATCCATAAGTAGGAGACGCTCACTGTCGCCATTCAGGCGCCTGATCTTTCAGCAAAGCGATGGCCTACCAGGTACGAGTTCAGCGATGCGCGCCCGGCAGAAGACGCTTGTGATGCCGCATCGCGCATGCAGTGGAATGCGCACAGAGAACGGACGGCAAGAGAAGGCAAGGGAAGGAAGAGAAACGGCTGGAGTCATGCGGCACCGGCTCTACTAGCGAGGCGAATGACATATTCGACACCCTCGAAGACCATCTCGAATACGGTTCCGACTCCGGCTCCGGCCGGTAGTCGACAAGCTGCCGAGCCCAAACAAATGCAAATCACAGAGCCCACATTTCTTCAACGGCTGGTGAAGAACAAAACAAACAAATCTCTCTCTCTCTCTGGTGAAGCTCAGCTCATGGCGTAGTATTGCGTAAGCAACCGCGGTCACTAACCATCCACGGCAAGAGTCACGGTGAATGCTGCCGCATAAAGCAAAATCCTGCCGCATAAAAGCAACGGTTAGTGGTGCACTAACCCTGTCAGCAGAGTCCACACAAAAGGACTGGAAAAAAAACAAAACTTCCACGCGTTGTGCTCGGCGTTTGGCCCCGGCGACGGTGTGTGCGTGCTTGTGCCGCGCGAGAAAAGCGCCGCAGGCCGAGTTCCTCGGAAATGGCGAGGAACCTCATCTCCTTCGTGGTCTGGCTGCTCTGTGAACCGGCGTACCCACTGGTGGTGCCGACGCACGCACACTCCGCCGTCGGCCTGCGACAAGTGGCAGCGACGCTGTGCGAGTCCGAGCCGCTCTCGCGCGGGGAGGCTACGGGTGAATATGACGGCGACGGGATGACATACAGCAGCGCCGACGCCGTCCGCGACATGGTGGCCGCGTCTCGCAAACGCTCCTACGCGGAGGGACGCGAGGGTTGCTGCGGCAAGAACATGCATGCCACCCAGGCAAACGGACCGCCGCCTGGCAATCCATGGAGACGCAACGGCTGAGCGTGCAGCGTGTGTGACAGAGCATGCGCGGTTACTAATCGCCACATGACATGAAACACGGTCCGCCGTTTCATATGGGCGGCCGTGAGCTGCCCATGCCGCCGCCGCCCGCCGGCCCCGGGCTCCGGCTCTGGCGGCTTCGGCCGCATCGGCTTCTTAGCCTGCGCCGCCTGGCTGCCGGGCTCGCGCGCCCCCACCTTGTCGCGTTGTCGCCGTCGCGAGTTGTGTCCTTCTTCGTTCTTGCAATCTTGCACTTGGGCTTCTTCCCGTTCCAGGCCGATCAGGCATCAGCTCGACCTCGAAGACCAGCGTCGCGTTCGCGGGCACCTTGTGGGCTCTTGCACGTCCTCCGGATAGCCGAGAGGAGAGAGAGAGAGAGAGAGAGAGAGAGAGAGAGAGAGAGAGAGAGAGAGAGACATAGACAGAGACAGAGACAGAGACAGAGACAGAGACAGAGACGAGACGAGAGAACAACATACCTAAGGGTTGGTTTTCTCTAGCCTCGACCCCTAGTGACAGCGGGGTTTGAGGCTGCGGAGTGCATGCCCCCGTGTTGGGGACAAGTTTGGGGCATGGGAACCGTGGCAGAGATCACAAGATCAAAATTCTATTTTTTCTCGATTTTTCGACTCGCTCGCACCTCCGATTTTGACTTTGGCCGCTCCGCGTCGGCCAGGTTGGTGTGCTCCGATCCGAAACTCTTCGCCGGCCCAATCAGCTCGACCGGCTCGACCGCAAACCGGCTTGGTTTGGCCAGCGGCGCGACGTCTGGCCTGTGCTGCGGCCATCTCGGACGTTCAGGCAGTGCCAGCCAGCGGCTCGGCCGCGCATCCTTCACACACGCCGCCAGGTCGGGATGAGAGGGCTTAGAAGTGAGTCATGGTGCGAGCTTCATGCGCGGGGCGGCTGTAACACAGCATGCCCACCAGACGGACCTCAGAGCTTGCCGTCGGCGTGCTGTCGTGGCGAAGCTCTAGAGAGCTGAAACGGGAGGAGTGGTGACACCGGGCGGTGCGTCAGGCTACCCGACGACGTTGGAGTCACTGTCACACGTCGCGGACAGCCTACGGCCCCCCCGGGCCGGGGCCAGTGCGAAACGGGTGAAAAAGAGACTTTGCGGAGTTCAACCGCCTATGCGCTTTTTTTAGCTAACTCGGAGGTTGCGTGAACCCAGCCGTCGTGCGATTTTCGGTCGGGCCCGGGGTGTTTGTGCTTTTGTGCCCAGCCCGCGTGTCCAGCGCGCACGATCCGCCGCCTGTCCCATTGAACGAGGGGGTGCTGGTGTCTCTTGCAGATACTATTTATTCACAGCTGCGGTAATCTAAAGCGCGTGTCAAAGAGGCAATCTGACCACCCCCCTGCGCGCCGACGAGCATGGCCCCCGCGCCCCGCCGATCTGCCGAGACCCACGATGCTCGATGGATGGCCACTTTGCCACCGCGGCTAGGCTTTGAGACCTCAGCATCCGGCATGGCGTCACCTTTGCGAGTGGCGGTGGGGCACGTCTGCTTCTGGCCGCTACTCTGTCGCGACGGGGACCGATGCCGTCGCATCAGGCCTTGGTTGCCGCTTCGGCGCTGGGCTTCATGACGAAGGCGGAGAGCCAGGCGAGACGGTGGTCGGGGGGGCGTTTCTTACAATGCTCTCGCCAGCTCACCCTCTGAGGGCTCTTGTGGGTTGACACGGACGCCATCTTTTCCGCATATCGGCATTGGTGTCTCCAACGACAACCGCGGGGACGCGCACAGTATACAAAAACGGCACCGTCGTCATCGGCGGCGACATCATCGCCACCGCAACTTCGTCTCGCCCCCGTCGCCGCCGCTCTCGCCCCTCTCGCCGGCGCCTCCTAGCTGCTGCCCCTCAAGCTCAACTACCAATGCCGAGGAGAGGGTCGCTATTCTCGAGCAGAAGCTAGCGGCCCTTGAGTCGGCGCACGCTGATAGAAGAGCTTGCGGCAACACTTGCAGCAACAGAGAAGAAGCTTGCCGCGTCGTCGAGGCGTCGGTGGCGGCGCTCCTGCATGAGGGCGGCACAAGTGCGGCCGTACCAGGGCGGTGTGGGCAGGCCACCGATGTCGACGCCATCACCACTTGCGGCTACCGCGCTCTCGCTTGACGACACCGTGGGGAATCACACCGTCCGATGAACCTTGCCGAGGCGATGCGGTCGGTTCGACCTCTAGTTGTGGAGGAGGCGGGCGGCGCCGAGCGGCCCCAACTCCGTGAAAATTCTCTTTTGGACAGATTCTCTTTTGGCCAAGATTCTCTTTTGCACAACACCCCCTCTACAGCTGACCTGTTTGACGCGGTGCCGACGGGTGGCTGTCCCCCGTGTATCCAGCCGGTTCTAGCCAGCCGCTGCGGCAACAGCAGACAGCGCCCCTCCCCCAACCGACATGCCGCCTGTCCCATCAACCAGCTCTGCGCCTGTCCCATCAACCAGCTCTGCGCCGTCCGGCGACTCATCCACCGGCTCTGCGCCGTCCTCGCTGCTGCAGCTCGCGAGGATCATCCGGCGCGGCGACCCAGTCGTGTTTGTCACTGGCTCGGGTTTGTCTGCGCCGAGCGGCATTCCGACGTTCCGAGGCGCGGAGGGCGTGTGGGCCAAGTGGGTCCTGGAGTGGGGCACACGCGCCGCCTTTCTCGCCGACCCTCGCGGCTGGTATGACAATTTTTGGATCCCAGCACACGTGGTCGCTGAGCCTGGTTCAACGAGCGAGCGGACCTACGAGCCGTCCGCCGGACACTTCGCGGTTGCGGAGGTTGCCGCGTGCCGCCAGACCAACGTGCACGTCATCACGCAGAACATCGATGGGCTGCATCAGAGGGCCGGCCTGCCCTCGGAGCGGCTGGTCGAGGTCCACGGCCGCGCCGGGCTGCTCAAGTGCGTCTCGCCCGGCTGCCGATACGCGGCCGCCGAGAGCATCGGCCCGGCGCAGTTAGACCTCGCGACCGCCACAGCCGAGTGGGAGGCGGATGCGAAGGGTCCCGATGTAACACCCGACCCCGCGCTTCGGGCACGCGTGGTGGTTCACCTGCGGCTCCGGCCGGCGGGCGGCGGCGTCCGAGCGACGTGTGCGGTGGAGCGGCAGGCGGCCCCATGCGACCCCAAGGCGACGCGAACGGTGCTGGGTGCGCTGCCAACCTGCCCTGCCTGCGGCGCGCCGGCGCTGCCGCAGGCGCTGCTCTTCGACGAGGAGTACGAGTCGCACTCCTTTTACCAGTACCGCAAGGCGCGCCGCTGGCTCGAGTGCGCAAAGGCGCCTGCCCGCCCTCGCGAGCGCCTCCCTCCGCTTGCGCCCGATAGCAGCGCTTCCTCCTCACAGCGGCAGCGGTGGACAGGCGCTTGTCTTCGTCGGCACCTCCTTCGCCGTCGGGGTGACGGAGCATGCGCTCCTCGGCGCTCCTCGCCGCCAGCCGAGTCGCAACCGAGCGGTCCTGGGACACGTCCACGACTAATCCACGGCGTCTGCCCCCGTAGGAGCGGCCGAGCGGTCGCTGCCGAGCTTCTCCTTCAACATTGTGCCCGAGTCGGCGACGCAGGCCCACGAGGCGGGCGGCGAGCTCGGCGGTGCAAGGCAGCACGCCCCGCCGATGCATCACATCGTCGGCTGCTGCGAGGCGCCGCCGCAGGCACAGCGGTCCGCACCCCGCCGCCACACGCCACACGCGGTAGTGCCGTGCCCGCAGGTGACTCTGCCCAAGCTGGCCGCGCTGGTCGCGTCGCCGCTCGCCGCCAAGGCGGCGGACTGGTACGAGGGGTGGATCCCTCCCCATGCCGAGGCGGCGGCGCTCGAGGGGCTCGGAAGCGAGTGGAGCGAGCTGCTGACGGGCGGGGTTGCGGCGGGCGGCGCGCGCGGGCGGCGAGCGCGCGGCAAGAAGCGCGGCCGCGAGAGGGCGTCCGCGCGGAACGAGACGACGTGGGTGGCTTGCGACGCGTGCGGCAAGTGGCGGAGGCTGCCCGCGGGCGTTGCGCTTGACGAGGAGGAGGCGAGCGCGCGATGGTGGTGTAGGCAAAACGTGTGGGACCCGACTCGCGCGACGTGCGAGGCGGAGGAGGAGCCGTGGTGAAAAGCGGCATGTGGCATCGTGGCATGTGGGGCGGGGGTAGCCCTCTCGCCTCTGGCGTTGGCCGTCTGGTCTCTGGATGGCGCGTGACGCGTGTGTGTCTTGAGCATGGTCTTGATGAGAGGCTCCCGCGGCGCCGGGGTCTCGTGTATCCTGTCTGTAGACTGGTTGGGTAGTAGTCTAAGTTCTGAGCCTGGAGGCCTAATGGGTCTAAGTGTGGCTAGCCACGCTGGAGTGCTTGCGCGGTCTAAGATCAGCGGGAGCCTCTTACATCGGCTAAGTCGGCCGTGGCACGGCCTGGGGCCAAGGCTCCCACCGTGATCAACGCCCCGTGATCAACATCGGCACAGCCCCCAAATTTTCTTCGCCTGCGGCGGGCGATCGATCCTCCTCATGCTCAGCAATCGCCGCCTCAGCATCCTCCTCTTCCGGTTCTCGTTGCTGCCTCCTGAGCGCAATGTTCGGCGACTTCTAGCCAAACAGTTCTCACAAATAGCCTCAAGCTCAAACAGACGCGTGTCAGAGAAGCCTCTGTGTATGCTGGTCCTCTTTGTATTGAACGATCCGCGCGTGAGGTAGCATAGGGCCTTGTTGGCAGCAGCCAGCTTGTTGCGCTGCTTCGTTGCGATGAGCTGATTGGGATCGCAGAAGTGCATGCCAAGCACCGCCACGATCTTGAAGCAGAACACATCGCAACCGCATCGTCCGCACTGCCATCGGCATGCCGCGCCCGCCGCTTCGCCGCAGCCGCCTTAAGGCACGCATAGCGGCAGCATATGGTACGTTGGTCGTTGCGCGTACTTGAGCAGGCGTTGCGCGCCGCAAGTAGCGCACTGGCCCTGGGAGAAGGCGATATGGCGTCGTGCGCGGCAAACGTTGGTCGGGACGCGTCCAGGTATTTTTCGGGTAAACCTGAAAGCTGATTCAACCAGGTATACCCGGGTTTTACCCGGAGTTGGCCTTATGTCGTCTAAGTTCATGGCCCCCGACCATGAGGGTCTAAGTCTGAGCCCGGCTCCGTGCGGGGGCTAAGTTGAGCGCTCGCTCGCTGCAGAGGCTAAGTGTAGAGCGACCCTCTAGCCCTACTACCCAACCATTGTCTGTAGAATCTGAAAAGGAAAGTCTGTCTGTATATGCGCGACATTTTTTTGAATTTTACCAGCCACCCCACAGGGGCCCCCGGCCCGCGGTCGCCGGTTGCGCGCCGGCACACAATAACACTGAAACCTCGGCGCGTCAGCACGGCCAGCCGGGACACTCCTGTCTTAGGCGGCGCCTGCGCTTCGTGCTGCAAGTGGGGTTGCACTCGTAGTGCGGCGCGCGCGAAGCGGGGTCGAGCTCGCACGGCAGGTACGTGTGCTGCTCGGGCGGCGCGTCGGCCGGCGCGTGCCACCAGCGCGCGATGGCGCTCGCCATCGCGGTGCCACCCACGAGCGTGGACCCGTAGTCTGCGGCGCTGAGCGAGGCGACGTGCTCGTTGCACGACGAGATGAAGGCGCCGCCGCCCGGCCTGCGCAGGAGTCCCGCTGCGTGCAGGTCGGCGAGGAAGGAGCGAATCATCCGGTTGGAGGTGCGCACGTCTCGCGCGACGTCGGCGGCGGCGCAGCGAGACCAGCGGCAGCGCGGGTACGTCCGCCAGACGTTCGCCGTCTGCCTGCGAGGCGAGGGCGGGGCGACGGAGTGGTGCGAGGGAGTGATCCTACGGGCGGTGGGACAGCAAGAGTCGAGGAGGTGTCGAGGAGGTGTCGAGGAAGTGTCCGTCTAGCAAGCGGCACCACGAGTCGTGCGCCGAGTTGACGAGAAAGAGCGGCACGCCGCCGTCGAGCCGCGCGCCGCTCTCGTTCGCAAAGATGCAGCGCCACCGCTCAGTGGCCGGCAGCGCTCGCTCGCAGCCGGGTGCGCCCGAGGCGTGCATGAGCTCGTACAGGGCCCTCATCTTGTCAGGCCACGGCGTGCACGCCGCGGAGGAGGCGGCCGGGTCGAAGGTGCGGCGGCATGCGGCGGCGCGCGGCAGCGGCTCGGGCTGCCGGTGGAGGAAGAAGGCCGACAGCAGGAGCAGCTTGAAGCGGGAGAGTTGAGGCAACCGCGCGCGAACCCGCTCCGCCGAGAAGAGCGCGCCGAGGCCGCCCGCCGATCCGCCGGCCAGGAGCAGCTCCGCCCCATCCGCGAGGCCGAGGCCGCGCAGCGCCTACGGGAAGGCTCCGAGAAGGTCTGCAGAGGTACTGCAGACGGCGTCGGCGCGAGGCTGAGGCCGCGCAGCGCCTCGAGCTGCGCGTCGAGGTTGCGCCGACCTCTGAACCACACGGGGCGACCGCTGCTGTCGTGCAGCGCCGCCTCGCGGTTGCCGGCGAAGGAGCCGCCGTCGCAGTACCCAAGGAGCACCCGGTGGAAGGAGGCAAAGGCGGGGTTGTGGGCCGGCGATGGATCCAGCAGCCCGGAGTAGACCCAGCTGCGCTGCTTTGCCTGGAGCGAAGAGCCGAGCCCGTTGGTGGCGCGGGCAGCGCACTCGTCCAGCGAGTAGCACCACGCGCCGCCGTCCAGCATCACCAGCCATGACGCGTTATTCGAGCCTGAGCCGCCCGGCGAGCGCGGCCGGTCGTAATAGAACCACGGCGGCGAGCCGTCGAGGCAGCGGGCGCCGTGCGCCTCTGCGGTGGCGAGGTCGACCGTGTGGAGCATCCAATGCCGGCGCGAGTTTGTTTTCTTTTTCCTTTCGTGGTTTTTCGAGTGTGGTGTCATGAGAGACCTGAGTGGGTTTTTTCGCTTTACAGGCTGTTTTCGGCATAAATTTCCTTCGTTTTGACGCGCGCTCACGCCTCTGCGCACCGCGCCTCGGCACCGGCTTTGCTGCCACCGTGTCGAGGACGCCCAGCCCTCGCATGGTTGAAGGTCCCATCAACTCATTCCATCGCCAAGTTGCTCGGCGGCCGCGCAATGCGGAGACCACCGAAAGCACCGCAGATGAGCCGTAAAACATAGACTGGTTCCACATTGGTTTAGCCCTCCGGCCACGTCATGGGGCCATTCGAAGTGCCGCGGCCGGCTAGCTCGTGACGGCCCGAGTCCGAGGATTGCAGCCGTGAGGCTCGGGCCCTGGGTGCAGTCTGAGGCCCCACGCCTGTCGCTCGGGCGCGGAGGCGAGCCACGAGCGCATTCGGTACCCAGGTCACGCATCTTTCCACGCCCTCATTCGAGCGACATCGCGGACACAACACTGCCTCACGCCCTTACTCTATTGCTGCTAGGCTACTCAAGCGAGACCTGGTGGCAATCCCGTCTGGCCAGCTCAACACGCCGCTTCGCGCAGGTATCGCGCCAGGCCCTGCCACCGCTCGCCGCCTCGCCGGCACGCTCGCGCTCCGCTCTCCGGAGAGACACACAGCCGCGCGAACTCACGCACGCAGACCAACGCCCGCGCCCGCCGCTCACGCGACCGCAACGCCGCGCCGCGACGTGCGCACCGCACGCAGCGCCGCTTACCCGTCGGCCGTCTCGCTGGCTCACGCATTGGCCATTGTGCCGCAGGCGTTTGGCGTTCCTGGTTAGGCTCTCCTATTTCGAGGGCGGTGCCGATCGGTGTACGCGGCAGTGCCGTTGCAGGCTCGATGTGTCCAGCATTCAACGTGCCACGTTGGCACGCTGGGAGAGTATCGCTTCCTCGCAGAGAGGTGTCAGCACCCGCGGGACACAACGTCAGTGTGCTGGCACGGCCACGGCGGGGGCTACGGTGACGACATATAATTTGGAGAAGGTATTTGTACTTAAGTACGAACGGACAAAGAGCCGAGACTCGACTCCGCACGGCGTGCCTCTGCGTGTCTGCGTGCGTGTTTCACCCTGCGTGTATTAGTAAAAATATTCTGCGTGATTCTGGCGGGGCTAGCTGTCAGACAACCTGCGAGGTTTTGAGGCGACGCACAGCGTGTGTCTTGCGGCGTGGCACGCCATGGTCGACGCCGACACCACGCCGTACTCCATGCAGCTCGCCGCCTGCTCGCCGCCGAGCATGCGCCCGTCGCCGAGCGCCATGGCGCATGGGAGAGCCAAATCCCAAACGCCTGCGGCACAATATGACCAATGTGATATGCATGAGCCGGCGTGCCACGGCCGACGGGTAAGCGTCGCTGCGTGCGGTTGCGTGCGGTGCGCACGTCGCGGCGCGGCGTTGCGGTCGCATGAGCGGCGGCGGCGGAGTGGGTGTGCGCGCCGGTCGGAGTATTCGCGCGCATTGGATCTGTGGAGAGCGCGAGCGTGCCGGCGAGGCGGCGAGCGGTGGCAGGGCCTGGCGCGATACCTGCGCGAAGCGGCGTGATGAGCTGGCCAGACGGGATTGCCACCAGGTCTCGCTTGAGTAGCCTAGCAGCAATAGAGTAAGGGCGTGAGGCAGTGTTGTGTCCGCGATGTCGCTCGAATGAGGGCGTGGAAAGATGCGTGACCTGGGTACCGAATGCGCTCGTGGCTCGCCTCCGCGCCCGAGCGACAGGCGTGGGGCCTCAGACTGCACCCAGGGCCCGAGCCTCACGGCTGCAACCCTCGGACTCGGGCCGTCACGAGCTAGCCGGCCGCGGCACTTCGAATGGCCCCATGACGTGGCCGGAGGGCTAAATCTATTGTGGAACCAGTCTATGCCTGCACGTAGGTCGTAGCTGCAGACGTGCCCACATTTTCCTCGGTGTCGTATCTGAGGCGGATTGACCTGGATTTTGACTCCACCGCCGCCACGGAGCATGGAAACCACCCTGCCGGCGCCCGTGGACGTCGAACGCTCATGCGCCGAGTCTTCTGTAGCCACAGCAGCAGCTACGGCGGCGCAGACTGGCGGCAGCCTGCACGGCAGTAGTCCAGTATGACTGTGGTGCGGTGCGGCGGTCGACAGCCGGCGGCATCAAATGCGGAGTGATCGCGGGCAATGCGGACTCCACCGTGACGCCACAGAGCCGCGGTGCGAGCCATGTGGCTCTCACTCCTGTGCTGGGTCGCGCGCTGGCCGCGCCGGACGCAGTGCGTTCATCCCGTCAGCCGGTCTTTGAGACCATCGCCAAGAATGCCGATACATGCAAACATGCTATGCTACTTTTGCCGCTCTCCACTCTCCTCCTCTTGTGCGGACTGCGGGCTGCTCGAGCTGCGCAGACGGCGCGCTCTGGCAGACAGAGCAGCGGCCGCCCAGGCGGTCGCTGCTCCGCCTCGTCCAAGTCCGTCCGCCCGCGCGTGCCACTGCCGCCGCCGCCGCCGCCGCTCCACCCGATCCCCGTGTGTCGTGAGAGTTGCATTGTGTGTGTGTATGTCGTATATATGTGTGAGAGAGATTTTTAGCAATACCAGTTGTTTATGTGTGTGGACTTAAATGTCACACTTGACGGCCTCTATCTATGATTAGCAGACCGGCGGCTGGTTACTGATTTATTCTTCACTACCCTGAACGCAAGCCAGACACCATCTCGCCGGGGCCATCGGTCTTCTCTCGCAGGCCGAGGATGCCATGCACAACCCACTGGTAGGACGACTTTTGGTACGCCTTGAAGATGCTCTCATCCTGTTCACACGAGAATGGGTTCAAAATTGCGTGAACACGTCGGGACTTCGGCGATGCCCTCGCCGATGCCCTCGCCTGTCCAGTGTGGATGAGAGGGCGCTGGCAGCGGCAGACGCCCTGCACGTGGCCGAACTTGTCAGAGAGCCGGCTCGAGCTTCGCGCTGCTGGCTGAGGCGGAGCGTCGGTAGGGAGCGGACTGGAGCCGCCGAGATGCCCGACGCTCATACCGCTCTCGATCCAGTGGAGGAAGTCCTGCTGATCCTCAGCAGTCGGCGGCCCGGACTGATCATTCCACGTTTTGCCGTACGTGCCATTCGAGCTCACCAGCTTCGAATTTCTCCTATCGATGCGAGGTCGGTACCTGACCCGCAGGATCGTGTCGGCATGCACTCCGCCCGCGCTGACGACCATGATATCATAGGGGTTCCCATCCATGTCCAGAGTCTTCTCCCTCTGCAGGGGCGGGCCGCGGCCGCCCATGCTGCGCACCATCAGGCCCGAATTGTCATGGGTGGACGTCATCTGCTGGCGAAGCGACCGGTTGTCCAGTGTCGAGATGGGGTTGCCAGAGATAACCCGCACGGTCTTCGCCTCGAGAGTCGCGGTCTACACGATTCAACCGGGGCGCGAGGGGTTCGGCAAAATCCAACTTCACAGGATTTCAAGTAGACCGAGCTACGATGCATCAGTGTACCAGCGCCGTGTGCATGCCGCGCATCATAAGGGCGATGTGGGGCGTCTACCCATGACATTCGCGCGTCAAGATCAAGGCGCGTGAAGACGAAAACAGCTTGTAGGGCACATCAACGATGAGCTCGCCGCTCGCTCTCCTCCTGCTGCTCCTGATGGGCGCCGCCGCCGACCCGCTGCGCGAGGCGATCATGGGCCAGACCGAGGCTCAGCTCGAGGGCATCGCACACCGGGTCGGCATTGATCACGGTGTGATGCAGGGCGAGGGCCGGCTCGAGGCGCTGAGGAAGGCGGTCTTCGAGTTTGCACAGAGCGAGAAGCCGGCCGGCGTCGAGCGGTTCGCCTGGGACGGCACGCCTCTCGAGGCCGATGCTCCGGCTGCCAAGGCCAAGGCGGCGCCTGCCACGGCGGCGCCCGCCAAGGCGAGCAGCGAGGCGCAGCGGCGGCTGCGCCTCAAGACGAGCGGGCAGCTTCGCGCGATGCTCGACGAGTTCTCGGTGGCCTACCCGGCCGGCGCGAGCAAGGAGGCCCTGCTGAGCCTCGCTGAGGAGGCGGGCCTGCTGGAAAGGTGGGAGGCGCTGCACCCGCCGCAGAAGAAGGCGCCGTCCTCGTCGGGCGGGATGGCGGACATGCTCTTCGCGTCCCTCGACCGCGACTCGGACGGCTCGCTCTCTCGGGAGGAGATGGCGGGCCTCATTGAGAAGACCAACGCGGCAGCCAAGGCGCAGGGCGAGGCCGTGCCGGCGGACTTCTTCGCCTCCATCGACGCGGACGGCATAGCCGCCATAGCCTGTGTGGAGAGCTTACGGCGGAGAGCGGAGACGTGTGTGGAGAACCGCGTGTAGGCGACGGCCGAGTCGACCGGGGCGAGGCGAGCGGCTATTTTGAGCGGATGATGGCGGGCGGCGGCGGCGCGGCGGGAGGCGGCGGCGCGGCGAGCAGAAGCACCGGCGGCGGCGGAGGCGGCGGCGGCGGCGCGATGGAGCCGAGTGCAATCATGCGCTCGCTCGACAAGGATGGCGACGGCAGGCTGTCGCGCGAGGAGATGGCCTCGTTGATCCAAGAGGCCAACGCGGCGAACAAGGCGGCGGGGGCGGGCGGCGACGACGACTTTTTCGCCACGATGGACGCGGACCGCTCTGGCTTTGTCGAGGCGGCCGAGGCGACGCGCTTCTTCGAGGAGCTGCAGCGGCTGGCGGCGAGTCCGCCCGGCGCCGGGGGAGGCAAGGCGGACAAGAAGGAGCTGTGACGTGCGTTTGGGAGGAACGGTAGAGTCTAAGAGCGAGTGTGAGAGGGGGGAGCCCGCCGCACCACACCACCTGGCCCGTGTGCTAGTGTTCACGCACAGCAGTCTGCGCCAAAAGGAAAAGCCGCCGCAAAAGCGAAAAGGAAAAGCGCCCCGGGGAGCGCGGAGCGGGTCCCGCGAACACACCACACACTTACACTCTAACACCACTTCCAGCTATAGGCGCGGAGGCTAGCGCCGCCGCGCGTAGGGCTAGGCCGCGTTAGAGCGGCCAAGGCCCAAAGGGGCGCAAGCGCCAAGCCGGGTGTGTGGCGGAGGCGGAGGTGACAGGTGTGGTGAAAGTGCGTTAGCCGTTTAGTGGGCGCGTGGAGTGGGTTGCGAAACACAAATCACCCGCAAAGAAGAAACTGGTCCGTCAGCATCAACCCGGTGCCGCTTGGGTATCAGTACATCATCCAGGCCAAGTCTGAGAAGAGGCGGGAGGATGAGGCCAGGCAGCAGGCCGCGCAGGGCGCTGCGCAGCCTCAGCCTACCGCCACTTTCGCCGCACCGCCCGTGGCACCGCCTGCCGCCGCTGCCGCTCCGGCCGCAGCATCGCAGGCACACTCGCAGCACCAACAGGCGCAGCAACTTCGGCCCAACGAGTCGCCCGAGGGGTGGACGAGGGTCGGGAAGGGCGGCAAGCCGGACAGGTTCACCATGAAGAACTTCGGCCGCAACCCGCCAAAGTCGGGCAAGCGGAAGCAGGAACACCGCAAGCCCGCACCCAAGGGAGGTGGACCCCCACCCCCTTCTCCCAAGGTGGTGGACAAGAACAGGCTGAGCGCATTGGGCGCTGGCCCTTCTGGCACCAGCGGGAGCACCGAGCGCGCACCGCCGCGCTCTCCCTCCCCCACCTCGCCGCCTGCCAAATCGCCGCGGCCGTCTGCGCCTGCTTCCTGGTATGACTCCGAGCTCGAATTTTCCGACGCTGAGGCGCGGGATAGGGTGGCAGGGGTTGTGCACGACGCAGTGCAGCAGGCTGTGATGCAATATGGCTATGACGACGAGCTCTACCAGGCATGGAGGGACGGCGAGATAGGCGAAAAGGACTTGCCGGAGGAGGTGATGGCTATGACTTTGGACCTTTGCGAGAGGTGGCGAGCGGAGCAAGCGCGGTGTAGGCGCGCCCACGCGGCGCAGCGGCTCTCCCGCGACCATAGCCCCTCCCGCAGCCGCAGCCGTAGCCGCAGCCCTAACTCTTGCTGCTCTTCTAGTGTCGGGTAGTGACCAGGGGGTGAGGGGACGGATTGAAGATCCCTCACACCAAGATCGTGCAGGGCGGGGACACATGTCCCTAAATCCCATCTCGTCTCAGAGTTTGACCGTTTTTATTTATTTATTTATTTATGGGTCGTGGGTGCCGTCTGCAGAAGTGCGTTGGACGCGCGGTCATGAACGGAAGAAGTGTGTAGGAGACAGAGAGAGATCTCTTGAAGTGAGTGAGTGAGTGAGTATTCTTGATACGAAACCACGACGACACACACCAGTCGACTCGCATCGGTTGCCTCCATGAACGGCGGAGCTATTCTCACACAGAGAGAGAGAGAGATCTTGAACTTGACGGGTGGGAAAGTTGAAGAAGACGAAAAAAAACAAGCGCTGTTCATAACGCTGCTTGTACAACCACGACCGACGCGAGGACGCAAGTCCACCAAACTCGGCCATAGATTCCAACGGCCAGACCGCTCGCTTAAGGCTGATTGGCTAGACGAGCGGCCTACCTCCAACGGGGCGGTCCGACAGCGCGTGGATCCGGCCCGCCCCGGCGGGTTAGATAAGGTTTAGCGCGCCGACAGACCGCCCTCTCCAGACTCCACCACCCTCGCCCAGGGCTGAGCCCTGGTCTGACAGCCTGACAGCAAACCCCGGACAGCGCCTGACAGTGCCCGACAGCCTGACAGCGCTGACAGCACTTTCTCTGACAGTCTGACAGCACGTATCTGACAGCCTGACAGCAGAGCCTGACAGGCGAGGCGCTCCGTCGCTGTCAGGCCCTAACGTGACAGCCTGACAGCTGCCTGACAGCCCGACAGCACACAGTGGCCTGACAGCAGCGCTGACAGCCCGACAGCAGCACAGACCGTACACAGTCAGACCCCCCCCGTAGAGCCTCTTTCTTGTGCCCCATGAGGGTATAACAAAACTATTACATGCAAAGACATGTACATGTACATGTGAGTGTGGTCCATGTGGTCATGGGAAGGTCATGGGTCTCTCTCTCAACCCTCCCGCCCCACCTCTGCGGACCCCTCTCTAGACTCTCTAGCACCGGCGGCTGTGCTACTACAAATGAAGCTACCAGCTAGCCTTCTGGGGCCCTACAGTCATATGCCTACGGCGTCTGGGTGGGGTGGCCGCCGCCGTCTGTGCCGCCGCCGCGGCCTGCGCCTGCGCCGCCATCTGCGCTCCCCAGGCGGCCGCCCCTGCCGGCGTGATCACGCCGTAGGAGGGGGGCAGCTGCGTACCCGCTGGTCTCCTCTTGATAGTGTCATAAGTGTGGCTGGTGTGTGTCAGAGCCTGACAGCACCCCGACAGCTAGCCCAACAGCACCACCTGACAGCACCTGACAGTAACAGCCCAACGTCTGACAGCAGCAGCAGCCTGACAGCTCTGACAGCTCCAACAGCGTCTGACAGCAACACCCGACAGCTCCGACAGCACCCGACAGCTACAGAGCCCCTCGCCTGTCAGACACGCACCCGACAGCACCCGACAGCACTGACAGCACCTGACAGCTGGTCTGACAGAGGCACCTGACAGTGCCTGACAGCTGCCCGACAGCCCGACAGATACCTGACAGCACCTGACAGCCTGACAGCCAGGGCTCATCTGGGCTCAGGCCTCAGCCCCGCGCCCCCCCGCGCCCACGTGTGCGCCCTGCTTCAGCCTGGTGCGCTCTGTGGCTCTCTCAGCCCGTAGGTATAGCCGTACACACACGCGCGCGCGGCGGCGCGGTGTATGTCTGTACAGTATGCTGTTGTACTTCTCTGACACACATCTCTGGCTCAGGCCCAGGGATTTACAACGCTGTCTTAAGGTCCGACCTGTGGGCTCTGCCTGCGCTCGGCACCGGGCACCGCCTCGGTATACAAAATGCGCCTGCGGGCGGACCCTTACAGATCACAGATCACAAGCGCTACAGGCCTCGTCAGGTTCACTCGCTCATCCATCCACCCTCCTCGACCTTCCCGACGATACCAGCGGGCCCGCCTCCACCTAGAAGGCTAGAAGACTGGTGCTGGGGGGTGGGTGTTCCCTGCTTTTGGCTACTGCATATACCTGAGCTAGGGCCTGAGAGGCCTCGCTGGAGCCGAGGCATAGCGGCGTGATTTCGGACCTCCACCACCCCCGTCTTGTCCCGGCCTGAGTGGCCTCAACACTTAGCCGACCCGCTGTTCCTAGGGTTGCGCGAGCTGTCCGAAGCTGTCACAGCTAGGGTTGCAAGACCTCAAAAGCCGGTCATCCACTACCCGAAAGTGGCCGCCCTCCCCTCCAGAGCGCCGCCACAGCCGTCGTGCAAAACGGCCCAACCACCGACCACGACCGCCACCGTCTGGCGGCAAGGCATACGCTCTGAGGCCGTAGAATAGTGACGGCTGCATCTAGCTCTTTGCGCGGGTCAAGTGTTCCTGGCCTCCCCTTGATGGTCCTACCTAGGCGGGAGCTTCTCCACAGAGGAGTCGATCTTGGAGAGGGGCAGTGCTCACTCTGCACTCTCTGGTCGGCCTGCTGTACCGACCCGTCGTGGCTTCACATCTACCTCGTGCCAGCGGCTCTCCTCGGCACCAGAGCACTCCATCAGAACGCCAGAGCCTGTCCTGGGGCGGGTCCCTACGTCCTTACAATCATACGCACAACAAACCCGGACTCAATCGATTGTACTGCGGTGGTTAGCTTAGGTAGGAAGGTGGTGTAAGTGAATGTGGGGTTGTGCGTTTATGTGAGTGAATTCACCATGAGCACAACGGAACAACGGATCATCCAACCTTTAGCCCGCATCGAGTATTTGGCGCGAAAGGAGGTGAGGTGGCGCGAACCTGCACACAAACAGCTTCTACCCGCCACAGCGCATCTCTCCATGGCGACCGCCTGCTACTCATGCTCCCACTCCTCATCCGGGCTGCGCCACCTCACGCCGAGCCCGCGCACCGCACTCGCCGGACGCCGCCACCAGAAGGCCGCCTGGTCCTCCAACAGCTGCGCCTGTGCACCGATTCGCGCTGCCTCGTCGACGGAGACAGCACGCCGGGGAACCAAGCCCGCAAAGGGCGGCGCGCGGTGCGAGCGAGCCTTTAGCACGCCGGAGAAGAGCGTGGCCAGCACCGACAACGTCGGCGGCGACACGGCGAAGGCCGAGACCTCCCATAGCGGCGGCTCGTGGCCAGAGTCGGCGCTCCCGGCGCTCGCGGCCATCACCCGGCTGCTGCAGCGGACGATGGGGGGAGCGTGCCCAGCAGACGCCCACGAGGTGGCCCATTCCCATCGCCGGCCCACCCCGTGATCCGCCCCCTCCCCGCCCTCTGCCGCCCACCCTGCTCCTCGCCCGCCCGCTGCCCCGCCCCTCACCGCTCACATGCCGCCCTCCTCCCGGCCGCAGCCGGTGTTCGCGCCGCTCTTCCACTCGGTCACGGTGCCCGAGATCTCTCCCGCCGCCTACCTCGAGGAGTACGTCCTCTCACAAGGCCTGCTCCACAAGGAGGGGCTGCTCGAGGTGCGCATCACCTCGAGACACCGCCCATGACACACCCTCACAAGCCCTCAGGCACAGACACCGCAGCTCCACCGCCGAGGAGGCGTCGGCTCGCCGCCTCGTCTCTCCCGTCACCCCTCCCATCCCCTCCGCCGCAGCCGCTCCTCCTGCACATGGTCGTCCTCATCGACCGCCTGCTGCTCAACCACGCGAGCCGCGGGCTGCACCTCTGCGTCTCAAACGCGCACCGCCTCCTGCTCGTCGCCGCGCTGCTCGCGTCCAAGGTGCTGGACGACGAGTCGTACAACAACTCGTACTGGGCGCGCGTCGGCGGTGTCTCGCTCTCGCACCTCAACGACCTCGAGGTGCTCGCTTGCGAGCTGCTAGAATTCCGCGTCTCGGTCTCGGCCGAGGAGCTGCAGCTGACGCGGACGACGCTGCTCACCATGTGACCTGGCGCCCGGGGCAGCGCGCGCGGGCTGTTTTGCTGTGGTTAATCCCGGGCGCATTTGCATGGCAGGAAACGTCGGGGGTAAGTGTGGGGTGGTGTTGTAGATTGAAATGCATGTCCATGTCTCGTGCCCTCTCCACGTGCGGTGGGTCGGGCTTTGTGCTTTCTGATGTCTGTCAACTCAGCACTCAGGCACATATAAAGCTGCGATAAACTCAACCCTCTCAATCAAAATCTAGCTCAATAGAGAGTTACCAGTGAGCAGTGTTAGAGACGCCCACAGAGAGCCAGACGCAGAGACCCAGACCGCACAGACCGGCGCGACTGGCAGAGACCGCGCCCGCCCCGGGGTAAGACACAAAGCGCACACGATTCTGTGGTCAGCGCGTCACGCGCCACGATAGACCTCCTCCTAGGTGATTAGCGAGAGTCGAGCCGGTAGTCTGAGTCGGGCCGGCCACGGCGAGTGAGGGAGCAGCCCCAGCCGCGCCTCCCGCAGCCGCCAGGACGCACCCGCAGCAGCGGCTGCGTGGCTGGTCGATGGCTGGGCGTGCTTAAACAAGACGAAGCAGCGCGCGGTTGGGTCGCGCCCTCAGAGGTGCACGTTCATAGAGAGGCCGAGGTTGGCGGGGCCGACGCCGTTGGTGAAGCCGTTCGGCCCGAGGAGTGCGGCGCCCTCATCGGGCACCTGCAGCGGGCGCGGTGGGGCGGTCTGCGCGCGGGCGGGGGCGGGGCGGGGGGGGGGGGGGGGGTTATTCCCGCCATCCAGAGCTGCAGATTCCCGCGCCCTTGCTGGTAGGAGCCGGACAGGTTGATGTTTGTGTCGGGAGGCCGGTAGGCGGCGCCGAGCGACCATTTGCCGCCCTGCCCGCCCGCGTACTGCGCCTGGATCTGCTGCATCTGCTGCGACTGCAGCTGCAGGTAGTTCATCGCGGTGCTCATCTGCGGCGCGGGGGCGGCGGGCGGCGACGCGCTCAGCAGACACCGAGAGGGGCTCAGTCCTGTGCCCCGCCCCGTCGTGCCCCACCTCTGTTCGCATCCCTCCCCCTCCCCCCGCCCGCCCACTGCTTCGGTACCGCCTCCGCTCGGTGCCCTCTCCCTCCCTCCGCCGCCGCCGCCTCCCCCCTCCCTCCCAGACCGCCACCGCCGCGCCTGCTGCTGCGCTTGCTGCTTGACCGCCGACGCCTTCTTTGACTGGCTCTTGATGGCGTCAATCACCGCGACGAGGCTCGCGCGCTCCGCCTTGTACCCCCAGCCCGCCTTGGCGGGCACGCACACCTTGGCGCCCTTCACAAAGGCCGCCTACGCCGAGAGGAGCCCGCCCCGTGAGCCACGCCCACCCTCCCTCGCCGGGCGCCTCTCGCCGCCGCCGCGCGCCTCGGCAGCGCTCGCCGCGTTGGCGAGGTCGTCCTGCCCGACGGCCTGCGCCTTGAAGGACTCGAGCGCCGTCTCCTTGAGCGCCGCGAGCGCCTTCACGAAGGCCGGCTCGATCGACGTCAGCACCGCCTCGCTCAGCTCCTCCTTCTTGTCGGCATACAGCTGCGCCACGTCGGCGTCGCCCGCAGGCGTGCCCGCGGAGAACTTGTCCTCCGCGTCGGCGAGCACGGCGTCCGCCTTGGCGCCGAAGCCGGACAGGTCCTCGCCCGCCGCGACCGTCTTGCGCAGCATCGCCACCTCGGCGTTGGCCTCGGCGAGGCACGAGGCATAGAGGCGATTGCACGCAAACGTGGCCTGCAGCATGGCCTCGGAGGGCTCGCCGCCGCCGCCACGCAGCGCGAGGACGCTGCGCGGGGCGGGGCTGCTGCGCGTCTGCGATCTCGGCGCGCTGAAGGCGGCGGCGGCCGCGATGAAAACCGCCAGCAGCTTCATTGAGATCGAAGGGCACCCGTGGCGCTAAGGAAGAAAAAGTTTTGCGGCTTGACGCCCTTTCTGTCTTGTGGGAGACTCGTGCCGCCGCCCCTGCCACCCCTGTGTCAGTGTGCCTGTGGTAGGAGAGACTGCCAGCGACAAGCTGGAGGCAGGTCGCTAGACTGAGATGAGACCGCCAGTGGATGTGGGAGTCCACCGCGCACCGCGCTGCGAGCCTGTCGTGTCCCGTGTCAGGAGCAGGAGAGCCCCACCTGTCCCCCTGATCGTCCTTCCAAAATCCTGCTCGTGCAGGTGGGGACCCTGTCCTCGTCCCATCCCTCGTTTGGCGTGTCTGTTTTCTTTCTTTCTTTCTTTCTGTCTTTATTCCAGAAAAGGCAGCGCGAATCGGGGGGAGAGAGAGCGGGTGTTTGTTTCTCGAATCGGTGCAGCTGTTGGAGGAAGGCGGCGGCCTTCTGGTGGCGGCGGCGAGTGCGGTGCGCGGGCTCGGCGTGAGGTAGGTCTGAGGTGGCGCAGGCCGCAGCCCGGACGAGGAGTGGGAGCACGAGTAGCAGGCGATCGCCATGGAGAGATGCGCTGCGCAGCTGTGGCGGGTAGACCCTGAGCATTGAGCTGTCTTTGCAGGTTGAGGTTCGCGCCACCTCACTCCTTTCGCGCCAAAGCCAGAAAGGCAAAGCAAAAAGAAAAGAAAGAAAACAGACAAGCCAAGGGAGGGATGGGAGGACGGCACGCCGCCACCACACAGGGATTTTAAGGAGAGGTGTGTGGCAATAAATAAATAAATACAACGGACATCCCAAGCTAGGGCTGAGCTATCAGTGATGACGAAACAGAAGCTAGCGCAGACGAGGGCAGGGCAGACCCGGGGACGGCGGAGTCGGAGCAGACGGCATCGGCCGCCGAGGAAACGTTGGGAAGAGGCACGAGGAGGGCGGCGACCTCGACCGACTATGGAGGACCCGTCACCAGACGACGCAGGGCAGACGACGGGGAGGCGGAGCAGACGCGCAGGGCGAGACGAGGGAGGGAGCAGGATGTTGCTGAGATCAGCAGGAGGATGTACGACGAGATTAGGAGCAGCAGGGACCCGAGGGACCATGTGGAAGACGGCTAGTGCTAGTCCCCCATCGGGAGGACGACCCCGGCTAGTCGCCGACCACACCCACAAAGAACCCTGCACAAAGACCGCAGGGCGGGGACCTGTTCCTTTTTACCCATCTCCTAGTAGAGGTGTCCGTTTTTATTTATTTATTTAAGCTAGGGCTGGGTCGAGGACAGACACGTCCCCACCTTTGCAGGATTTTGCAAAAGCGAGGGGGGAGGGCGCATCGCCGCGCGGAGAGGGCTGGGCACAGGGCACAGGGGATCTCTCTCGCATAGGATATGCACTCGGCGGCACGAGGGCAAGGCTGGGCGTCCTATGTTTGTGCTCCCCCCCGGACCCCTCGCTCTCGGGCACTAACCATCTGACCACTCATCGACGGGGCTTGGCGAGCGGCCGCGCTGCGGGGCAGGGCTGGTGAGGATGGGCTCTGGCCACTCGCCCGTGCGGTTGTAACCGCGCATCAGCCGAACGGAGGCCTCGACCGCCCCTCGCGGCAAGCTCTCGAGCATCTCGAGCAGCTCGCCCGCCGCCATCGCCGCCTCGAACTGCTCCCTCATGCCGAGCGCGCCGCATACCCTGCGGACCGCCTCCTGCTGCACCTCGTCCGGCGTATCGGTTTCATAGCCGGACGAGTCAGCGGAGGCGGCCCGCTTGGCGGGCGGAGAGTCGGGCGACGGCGAGCGCGACTGGCGCGAGGGCCCGCTGCCGCGCGCGGACAGCGCGTTCTTGTCAACAAGACGGGGTCCAGCATCGGCACGGCCCCTGGCACCGCGGCCCTTGCCGCGCTGCTGCTGCCCACGCTTCCTGCCCGGGTTAGGGACAGTGAAGGAGCAGCCGCGCACTCCGCCGCCGCTGGGCGGCGGCGGCACGCGCGGCGGCGGCCGGGCCCGCAGGCGCGGCGGGCTGGCCACCCGCGGTGGCACCCTGCGGCTGCGATGCGGCTGCGGCGGCGTACGTCTTGGGCGCCGGCTCCGCGGCTGGCGGCGCGGCGGCAGGGGCGGGCGGCGCCGCAGGGCTCGCGCTCGCAGGCGGCTCCGTGGCCTGCGCCTGCCGCTCGTGGCGCACCGCGCGCTCGAGCTGCGAGTGCGGGTGCAGCTGTACGATGACGTCGCCGCTCTGCGTCGCGGTGAAGGAGACCGAGTACGGCGCTTCGCCGTCGTTCTTCTTCTCCGCGTAGACGAGCGCGTAGTCGCACACCTGTCGTTGGTGGTCAGTGAAGATGGTCTCTGTGCAGCGCTCGGCGGAGCCGACGCGAGAGAAGTGCCGCCTGAACGCCATGCGTTCAGGCGCTGTTTTGGTGTGTGGCAAAGCACCCGGGGCATGCTAAATTCTTTTTAGCTGCTGGCCGTGTTGCCGCTCCTCCCCAGCGGCCATGTCGGCGGGAGCTGCGCGCGGCGAGATCGCCCTCTCCGAGGCCGACACGCCGCGCGACGCGCTGCTTGCCATGCAGGCGCAGTACGAGCGGATCGTCGACCAGCTCCGGCGGGACGCGGCGCAGCAGGAGGCGCTGCGAGAAGCGCAAGCTGCCGAGGGAGAGGCGCGGGTCATCGAGCGCATCTGCTCCGTGGAGAGGGAGGCGTCGGCGCGCGAGCTCCAGCGCCTAGCGACGATCGAGGCGATTCGTGCGCAGGCAGCGGTGCGACCAGCCTTGGCGGCAGAGTGCGCCGCGTGCCGGGAGCGATCTGCGGCGCTGCGCGAGCTGCGCGAGCAGCGTGCCGCGACGGAGGGCGCGCTGCGCGCCACCCTCGCTGCGGAGTCGGAGCGCCTGCGCGGCGCGCGGCGCGAGGTTCTCGAGCTGCACGCTGCGCGTGCGAGGGAGGCGCTGGAGGGCGGAGCCGCCGAGGTTGGCGCGGCACTAGAGGCGAAAGAGGCGCTGGAGGCGAAAGAGGCGCTGGAGGAGAGGGAGGCGCTGGAGGCGCGGCTCGAGGCGAGCGAGGCGGAGGCGAGGTCGCTGCGCGAGGAGTGCGGCCTGGCGAGCGACGCGGCGCGCAGGCTCGAGGCGGAGGCGGGCGAGCTGGGCAGGGAGAACGCGGCGCTGCGGGAGGAGCTGGCGGAGGCGCGGGAGGAGCTGGGAGTTTCGCGGGAGGAGCGCGAAGGGGAGGGGGCGCGGTGGGCGCGCGCCCTCGAAGAGGTGCGCTCCTCTGCGGCTCGGCGCGAGGCCGAGCTACAGGCGAGATCTAGCCGAGATGTGGCCGAGATGTAGCCGAGATGTGGCCGCGATCCAGCCAGGACCTAGCCGAGATCTAGCCGAGATCTAGCTCGTGGCTGCGAGCGCGGGGCGAGGGAGGGGGCGGCCGCTGACTCGAGTGGCGGCTAGATTAGGCGGAGGTGGCCGACCTCGAGGCGAGGGCGAGGGCGAGGGGGAGGGCGGACGGCGCGGCGGCCGCCGCTGCGGCGGAGAGCTCAGCGCTTGCGCAGCGGCTGCGGGCGGCGGCGGCGCGCGCGGAGGCGGCGCTGGGGCACGCGGCCTCGCGGCTCGCCGCCTGCGAGAGGGCGCTGCGGCGCGAGCGGCGGGAGGGCGCGGAGCGGGACGCGGCGCTCGAGGTTGCGCTCGAGGAGCTGGCGCTGCTGCGGGCAGAGGCGTGCGAGCACAGCCGGTCGCGCGCGGCGGCGCGCGTGAGGAGCGCGCGCTGCCGGCTCGCTTCCTCGGGGAGCAGGGGTGCTCACGGCGGGACGATGCGCCATGGCTGTGCCGACTTGTGTACTCCGAGATGTCTATAGCGGAGAGCGGATGGGAAATTCTGTTTTGCACATCCTTGTGTTGGTGCCAATGCGCGGCCCCAAATGACGTGTGAGTGTTAGAGTTGTTTGGTATTGCTAAAAAAAAATGCGCGCCAGTCCCCCGTGCCCAGTGTTTAGAAAGAAAAAAGAAAGAAACACTCGGACAACCCAAGGAGCAAGCTGCAAGGTAGAATAAATAAATACATAGAGCAGTCATCTCCAGGAGAGATGGGCGACGCACGAACACAGGGCGACAGAATTCTTTTCGTTAGGAGCCGAGGCGGCGGCACGGCTGCTCCTCCTCCCCGCCCCACGTCCTCCACACCGTCACACATGGTCCCACCTGACGCCGCCGACGCCACACTTCCGTCCGCCGACGAGCTCCGCGCCGAGGAGGAGGCGAGGCATATGAGGCGTGAGGCGGAGATCGAGCGCTCGTGGAGCAAGGAGGTCGTAGTGGAAGGCGGTGGGCGGCAGGCGTGGCCGGGCGCTCGAGCGACGCTCCACGTCGTCAGCACCGTCGTCTCGTCTCGCTCGGGCGAGGGCGTCGGCTCTGTCTTTGAGGACAGCCGCCCTCTCGGCGTGCCGCGGCTGCTGCTGCTCGGCCGCGGTATCCTCGTGCCAGGCCTCGAGCGCGCGGTCGGCGGGATGCGCGAGGGCGAGAGTGCGCGCGTCGTCGTGCAGCCCGAGGGTGCGTACGGCGACGCCGGCTCGCCGGCGGCGCCTCGCGTGCCCGGCTCTGCCGTCGTCACGTGCGCTAGCCTCCGGCGTCGGCGGCGGCCGCTCCCTCTGCAGCACCTCACGCCTGCCGCCTGCCCTCTTCCGCAGGTACGAGGTCGAGCTGGTGAAGCTCGAGGAGGAGGCGGAGCTGTGGGACCTCTCCTTCGACGACAAGCTGCGCCTCGCCGCCGAGCGGCGCGAGCGCGGCAACGCACTCTACCGCGGGCTCGCCTTCGCGGCGGTCGCTTGCGGCCGCGAGAGGGTGAGGCGGTGGCGCAAAGGCGCGATCGCGACTCGCCCGCGCCGCGTGCCGTAGGCGGACGAGGAGTACGAGCAGGGGATGCGGTACCTCGTCTACATGCCCCAGCCCGAGGACGGCCAGCTGGCGCGGAGACCGCGACAAGTCGCGAGACGTTGCGGCGCCCCCGGCCGTGAGTCGTCCGTGGCGTGTCGGCTGCAGGCGCCACTCGAGGAGGCGACGGTGCGGATGCAGCTCAACCTGTGCGCCGCCAAACTGCGCACCGGCCGCGAGGCGGCCGCCCTCGCCCACGCCGACAAGGTGCTCGAGCTGAGGCCGGAGCACCCTAAGGCGCTCTACCGCAAGGGGCAGGCGAGCGGCGGCACTGCGCCCGCCCCTCTCGGCACGCGCGGCCGGCTCACGGGTGGCTGCCTCTCTTCCCGCCAGGCGCACACGCAGCTGGGCGCGTACGCGGAGGCGTCGCTCGCGCTCACCCGCGCAAAGGCGGCGGCCGAGGCCGAGGCGGACAGCAGCGCCGCCGCCGCCGTCGAGAAGGAGGAGGCGCGCCTCGCCGAGCGGCGGCAGCGGCACGCGAGGCAGCGAAAGGCGGCGTACCGGAGGATGGTCGGCGGAGGGGCGGGTGAGGCCCGAGGCGAGGCAAACGCCGAGGCGGCCGATCAACCGCGGGCGGCGGCCGGCGGCGGCCTCCGTGTTGGAGTGGCGGCCGCCGTTTTGGTTGCGGCCGGCGCGGTGGCGCTCGCTGCGGCAGCTTTAGCTAGCAGCTGGGGCGGGGCCGAAGATCTACAGCCGTGAGTGTGCGCCGCGCGCTCATGGACAATATATCTCGAGTACACGTGCAGTGGACGAGCGTTCCCGGTTCCGACACGCTCGGCTCGCTCGGTCCGCGCCGCGGGGTACCTCGGCCCGGGTGTGTCGCTGCTGTGTGTATCGACACACACACCGTTCGCACAGCCTGGCGGCGGCCGTATTTTACTACGGGTTATTCCGTACGAAAATAGCGAACGAGGGCTTCTGTCTAATGCCATAAAACGAGTTCGGAGCGCGCGGGACATATGTCGACATCTTGCTCCCCCCCCCCCCCCCGCCCCGCCGCCCCCCCCCCCCCCCCACACGGTCGGCCGTCGGTCGCCTAACGCATATCGTAATTCGCTACTGTGACTCAAAAGTTCCGTCGCTCTCGCGGCCCTGCGCCTCCTGCCTCTCCCACGCCAGCACGGCTTCACGCACGTCCTCGCAGTCCTCCGGGGGCCCCTTCCAGAAGACGCGCACGCCCTTGTCCTCGAAGCTGGCCGGGACAAGGCAGTCGTGTCGCTGCCGCTGCGGGAGGGGTTGCGCGTGCTCGTCGCGCGCGGAGCCCTTGCCAAAGAAGCGCAGGCTGTCGAGCGGGCTCCTCCCCCGCTGCCCGTGGTGCACATGCCGAGTCTCCACCTCGAGGCTCGCCCTGTCGGAGCGCAGCCCGCGCGCGCCCACCGCGGCCCTCACGCCGTCCTCCAGCCTGCGCACCAGCCGCTCCTGCTCCGCCTTGCCCATCGCCAGCTCTTCGCGCGTGAGCTTGCGGCTGAAGATCTGGTCGCCCACGCACTTGTAGTTATCGTTGACCTGGATGCGCTCCAGCAGCGCCCGCGCGCGTTCCAAGCCCGCGTCGCCGCCCGCCTCTGCGCCGCCCGCCTCCCCGCCCGCAGCGCCGCCCTCCCGCCCCCGCCCGCCCGCCTCGATCAGCACCTCGAAGCGCGCCATGACCGACTCGTCGGTCATCTTGAGGAAGGCGTCCTGCAAACACGTGCCGTGGGCGTGTCGTGGGCTGCGGGGCGGCACCGGCCTCTCCTCGACGGCAGGCGGCGGCGGCCTCGTTGCCGGCGACCACCGTCTCGGCGAGGCGCAGGCTGCCCACGACCGGGCCGAGCGCGTCGGCGGCGAGCAGAAAGTCGCGGTGCAGCAGGTCCCACGCCACGACGTGCTTGTGCGTGTAGAGCTGGCAGTGCAGCTCCGCGCGCTTGCGGAAGACCTCAAAAAGCGAAGGAGACATCTTGTCCGGGTAGCAGATGACCGGCCGCGCGCGCGCCTCGCCGCCAAAGGTCGCCAGCCGCACCTCTGCGTTCTCAAGCAGCGGGACGACCAGTCCACTCATCCCGACCGTGGCAGGGTCGCGGCGCAGGTAGTCGAGCTTGTCCATGTCCAGCCTGGTGATACAGACGGCGATGTGAGTGGAGCGTCGCAGTCCTCCTCTCGCGGAAAGACAGAGCGCCACGGGTGCAGACGAGGCGAGTTCCGCACATTCCAATCCACATCTAGAGGTGCCACATCTAGGGTGCCCAAGCCCCGAGTCCGCGTTGCAGACGATGTCGTACAGGTAGCGCTTGTCCCAGCCGCGCCCTTTGCGCGCGTCCACCCCTCCCTTCAAGTCGCCGCCGAGGATCAGCTCCTCGACGAAGACTAGCTCCGCCTCCGTCAGCCGGTCCTCGCGCGCCGCGAGCGGCGGCTGGGCAAACACCTTGCGCAGCAGCCGCACAGACAGCTGCTCGTGCTTGTGCTTCTCCAGCACCTTGGCAAGCCCGGCGTCGCCCTCGTCCCGCGCACGCCGCGCCGCCGCCGGCACCACAAAGTTGTCAAACGTGTGCGAGAACGGGCCGTGGCCAAGGTCGTGGCACAGCGCGGCGAGCTTGACGAGCAGAATGTCGCGCTCGTCGGGCGGCTGCACGCCGTGGGGCATCGGCCGCTGCGCAATGTTTCTGCACAGCTTCTCCGCCAGGTACGCCACGCCGAGGCTGTGCGCCTTTCGCGTGTGCGTTGCGTTCGGCCAGACCCGGTGCGTCGAGCCGAGCTGCCTCAGCGAGCCGAGCCGCTGGAAGGCCTTGGTGCGCGTCACGGCGTCGAGCAGCGGCTCGAGCGTGATCTCGCGGTGCACGCAGTCGTGCACGTGCTTCCTAGGCCGCTCGTGCTGCCGCTCGTCGAGCTCCCACTCGTCCGCAGCCGGAGGCCAGCTGCTGCCGCCGCCCCCAAGCTTTGCGGCTTTGCGTGCCGTCGTCTCGGGCGTGGGCTCGCGCACCCTGCCGCTCGCGCCGGGCGGAGTGCGCGGCGGCGCTGAGCCGCTGCTCATAGGTTTAGTTGCCGACCGCCCCACTCCGTCGTACGTACGGTTAGGTCGTACGGAACTGTACGGTGAAAGAAAGAAAACAGACAACCCTAGGGAGGGTTGGGAGGACGGCACGCCGCCACCACACAGGGATTTTAAGGAGAGGTGTGTGGTGCGCTATCCGTCGCCCACCCTAGGGAGTCTGCCTCTTCCTATCTCTCTTCGCAGTCTCTCGCCGATTCTCGCTGCAACCTTCATGCCACCTCGCGGTCGTCCCACCCTCGTCGTTCTCTCCCTTGTCACTTCCTCCTCTCGTACGGTGAAGAAAGAAAGAAAGAAAGAAAACAGACACGCCAAACGAGGGATGGGACGAGGACAGGGTCCCCACCTGCACGAGCAGGATTTTGGCAGCAGAGGCGGAAAGCGCGCGTTTTCTTCTACTCTGAAATGCCGGAAGCCGCCCCTGGCTCTGCTGGCTCCGCCGCTCTCACCTACCCCTGGTCCTTCTCGTACTTCAAGAAAGTGGCCAACCGGTCGTACGAGGAGAACACTTCCGCTCTGGGCACCGTCCAAACAGTAATCACCCCCGGCCGCCCTCCTCAGCGGCGTTGCGCGCGCGAAGCGCCGGTCCCTCTTCGCGGCGAATCGTAGGTAGAGGACTTCTGGCAGCTGTACGTGCACCTGCGCCGGCCGTCTTCGGAGGAGCGGCCAACCAACTGCGACTACCACGTCTTCCGCGAGGGCATCCGGCCGATGTGGGAGGACAGCGAAAACCAGGCCGGCGGCAAGTGGATCGTGCGGCTAAAGAAGGGGCTCGCAGCTCGCTACTGGGAGGACCTGGCGCGCCGCCACCGGCCGCTCCCCCCCACCCCACCCCCCCCGGGGGGGGCCCGCCGCCGACGCTGCGCGCGTGCCCCTCCCTCACCCCTCTCCGCGCGCCTCTCGCTGCAGCTCCTTGCGCTGATGGGCGGGCAGTTCAAGGGCGACGAGATCTGCGGGGCGGTGCTCTCGGTCCGGTACCAGGAGGCGTGCGCGCCCGCGCCCCTCTCGCCCCTCCCGGCCCGCCCTCCACCCCCTCTGCTCCCCGCCCCTCAGGACCTGCTCTCGCTGTGGAACAAGTCGGCCGACAGCCGGCGCGTATGCATGCAGATCCGCGACACGCTGCGCCAGGTGACGGGGCTGCCGGCGGACGCGACGATGGAGTACAAGAAGCACACCGACTCGATGCGAGACAACTCCTCATACCGCAACGCAAACGCAAACTTCTGACAGCAGGGGGGCCGGAAAAAGTCCTCGGACCTCACTCGCTCCCGGGGGGCGCGCGCCGGCGGGCGGAACTTGAGAGCGGCGGGCAGGCCCTGTCGGGGTGAGTACAGAGCATTGGTGTACAGAGCATATGGTCTCTGTTCAAAAGAATATATACAAAGTGACTGGGCGCGGGCGCGTCTGCCTCTGCGACTTTCTCTCCTCCAACTCTATCTCCCTCGCCCACGCTTCACACGTGCGGCACACACGATCATCGATCTCGGAGACGCTCTCTCGATCCGCGAAAGGGATCGCACGCCCGCCTTGCGTAAGAGACGGAAAGAGACGGAGAGCGACCAGTGCGCAAACAGAGCGCGTCGCCCAGCGTTCGAGGGGGGTGCTCACGCAGCGGCCCGCACCTTGACGACAAGACGGCTCCCCACAGCCTCAATGCTCACCTTCAGTGAGTCATCCGCGCAGCTGCTCGCGGGGCCGCCGTTCGCCGCCGGCGCCGCCGGCGCCGCCGGGCCGCGAAAGGCGTCGCAATACATCCAGCGCTTGGCAAGAGGGGCGACAATCTCGGCGGCCGCGACCTCCCTCGACAGCACCGGGGTCGAGGGCGCTGGCTGTTTGGGCTCACGCGCACGTATGCGCGACGCGAGCCACGCGTACGGCGCCGCGGGCTTGTGCTGGACGAGCTCGTTGAGCCAGGTGTTGAGGTTCGCCTGGATGGCGTGCTCGTCAAAGTACTGCTGCAGCGCCTGAGGGTGGCGGTGGAGGGCGGCGGTGGCGAGTGCAGTGGCGAGCGTGCGTTGGTGCGGTGGTGGTGAGGGTGGTGGTGGTGACGAGTGCGGTATTCGCAGCGGCGGTGGCTTGGCGGTGGGGGGCGGTGGGGGGCGGCCTCGACGCTGGGAGCGCCGCCCTGAGAGCCCCGAGGCCGCATGTGTTTTTTTCTCAATTTTTCGCTCTGGCTGTTACCTAACCTAACCCTCCTTGCTTGGGCGCTGCGCTGGGCTGGCGCGCACGGGGGGGGCAGTAGCGTACGTAGTCCCGTACGCTCATTTCGCTCACTCGGGCAGCCCGACAAAACAAACAAAAAATCTCTCTCTCTCTCTCAAAACAAACTCTCTCTCTCTCTCTCTCTGGCAGCCCGTGCCGAGAGAGAGCTGTTGCGTGCCGTCATCTCCTGTCTCGCTCGCTCGCTCGTTCGAGAGAGAGAGAGAGATTTAGCAATATTTGTCTCGTTCGTGTCCACACACCGCGTTGGAGAGAGAGAGAGAGAGATTTGAAGACCAACAAGAAATCACGACTTTCACAGTGATTTGGGCTCGGCAGCTTGTTAGCCCTCAGCCGAAGCTGGGGCCGGTCCCGTAGCCGAGAGAGCCCGCGCCGATGAGTTCGACGCGGTCGGGGGGCCTTGCGGAGAGGCCAGCGAGGCGGCGATCGCTGTACTTCATGGTGCCCTCGGTGGGGCGGCTGACAAGCCAGAGGTCGATACTCTGGGGATGCCACGAATGCCTGGCGCCGGCAGCATCCGCAGGGAGGCAGCATATCAGGCACCAGTCTTCAAGAGAAGACCAGTCTTCTGGAGAGCTCAACAGCTGCGGCCGCGATGGCGGAGTCGGCCGCGGTTCGAGCGAGCAGCTTTTGGCTGCGGGATCGAATCACGCCTCGCGGAGCGACGCGGGTCGCGCGGCGCGCGCGTGTGCGAATTGCGACAACAGACGACAGACGACAGACGCCTGAGCGCTGTATGACTGAACGACCGTCGCCGCAATCGCCACCGCCGCCATTTTGACGAGCAGCGCGAGCGCGCTCGTCGGCGGCCAGCCGTCGCGGGCCGGGCTCGGCCCGGCCTCAACCGGCCGCGCCGCCGCAGCAGGCCCGGAGGCCCACATGGCGGCCGACCAGCTGATAAGGAGCTCTCTCCGCGTTGGTCCAGTCTTCTGAGCCTGCGCTGTTCTTACCTCTGATACATACAAGGGAGGGAGGGAGCGGGAGAGAGGGAGAGAGGGGAGAGGGAGAGAGAGGGGGGAGGGGGGGGGGTGTGTGTGTGGGGGGGGGGGGGGGAAACAGAGATAGAGAGAGAGAGAGAGAGAGAGACAGAGACAGAGAGAGAGAGAGAGAGAGAGAGAGAGAGAGAAAGAGAGAGAGAGAGAGAGAGAGAGAGAGAGAGAGAGAGAGAGAGAGGCTCGGACTGGAGACCGGCGCGTATGCTCTCGATGCGTTTCGTCGTGAATAAAAAATATCGACAAAAACCAGCTGAAGCAATAATAAGCGTCCTTGCTCACCGCGGCAACCTTGCGCTGTCGGCTCCACCTTACTCTCCGCCCCAAACCGCGCCGCCATGGCTTCCGACTTCTCGCTCAAGGACCCCGCCCGCTCCTCCGCCGCGCGCGGCTCGCGCCACAGCCAGCACCAGAGCATCGACCTCTCCCAGTCCATGGTCGAGTCCGGCAACGCTTTTGGCGACCCGCCGCCGGCGCGGCCGTCGTGGCTGCAGCGGCAGTGGACCTTCTTCTGCGGCACTCCGTGCCGCGCGATGCTCGGCTGTGGCACGATCGTGCTGCTCGGACTCATCATATTCGTGCCGATCATCCTGCTGGTGATCGTGCCCATCGTCGTCAACATGTTTGTGAACGCCACGACGATGACCATCATAAGCGCCACGCTGATGGAGCCCCTCCCCTCCACCATGCTGATCGATACGTGGGTCGAGCTCAACAACGCCGGCCCGATCGCCGCCAAGCTCTCGGGCTTCAACGCGACGCTGGTCGGACCAAAGGGGCGCGACATCGGCTGGCTCGTCTTCCCCGACGTCCCGCTCGACGCAAACTCGGCCAACCTCCAGGATGTGCTCAGCCAGATGACCATCATGAACGAGCAGGCCATCTACGAGGAGGGGCTCGACCTGCTGGCCGGGCGCCCGGTCACGTGGCGCATCAAGGGCGAGACCACCCTCACGACCCTCGGCTTCGGCTTCAAGGTCGACATCGACAAGCCGCTCACCTTCCCCGGCGTCCTGCTCGAAAACTTCCAGACGCGCAACGTGCGCATCAACTATGCGAACGCCTCGTACGACGACAACGGGCACAGTGGGATGATTGTGATGGACGCCGACCTCGAGTTCTCCTCCTCCTCGATCCTCCAGTTTGACCGCATCGGCATGCTGCGCGCCGACCTCTGGTACAACAAGGACGCCAACGACGCGGAGAAGTGGGGCTTCTCAAAGGTGTTCCGCGAGCTGCACGGCTCGCGCCTCTGCACGCCCGAGATGAATGCCAACAACAAGTGCTGCAAGCCCGAGGACCAGGACGAGGACGGCGTGTGCAAGGAAGGAGTCGAGGTCTGGAAGGAGGTGTCGGAGAACATCGGCTGGTGCGACATGTACGACTTCAAGGTGCTGCGCGGCGTCAACCGCGTCAAGGCGTCCATCTTCCTGTACAACTCCGAGACGAACGGGTACAACCTGGGCCGGTGGGTGTCGCAGTGGGAGCAGACCATCATCTCCGTCGGGCCGACCAACAAGTTCTTCCTCAACAAGGTCTGGCAGGGCCTCGTCACCCTCGAGGCGGGCCCCACCAAGATGTTCACCGGCGGGCTGGTGGACAAGCAGACGCTCGTGCAGGGCTACGACCTCGAGACTGGCCAGAACTGCGGGCTGACAACCTCGTCGGCCGAGACCTGCAACCGCGGCTCGATTATCTCGGGCGTCAACCCCTTTGTGCGCGAGTGGGCGCTCAAGGACATTTCGTACGACGTCTACTTTGACGAGAAGATCGAGTATGACGCCAAGTTCGTCATCAACGCGCTGGGCAACACACTCTCGGTCCCAGCCGTGGACATCCAGTGCGCCGCCAGCGACACGTTTGCCCGGATGCAGACCAGGCCGGGCATGATGGCGTACACGCCCAACAACGACCCGCGCGTCGAGGGCGGCCCCAGCAGTGGCTTCGCGGTGGACGGCTATCGCAAGAATACGATCGGCGGTCAAGACGCGACGATGCTGAAGTGTATTTCGCGCGAGGACCCCGGCTCTCCACTCGACGGGGAGTGCGAGGGGCTTGACGACCTGCTCAGCGACCAGACGATCCCGCTGCCGAAGGGCAGCACGAATGGGACGGGGACCTACACCTTCTTCCTCACGGCGACGCCCTTCCCCGGCCGCGCCGAGACGATCAACACGGGCGCCCACGGGATCGACCCTTGCGTGCTCGGAATCGACTCCCTCGTCTCCTTCGACTGCTGCCTCATGACCGTCACAACTGCGGCCGCGTGCAAGGCGGAGCAGAAGGGCAAGAAGCACATCGACGTGATCTCGAGGGGCAACGCAACTATGATTGTGGACGGGATGGACATGATTGTCTACCCCGTGGTGAAGCTGCCGCTCTCATACACCGAGGAGGTGGTGGAATTCGACGCGCTCGCAGAGACCTCAGCGGTGCTCAGCGCCGTGGCGAAGGCAGGGTTCAACTGCGACGAAATCAAGTGGACGGGTGTGACGGCTGAGGAGGCGTGCGCCCCGAATGGATGGGGTTCGCCCTGCTCCTGCTGCGAGTACGACCCCGCCATCAACTGCGCCGAAGCTTGCTAATCCAACGCGCCGAGGCGTCGCGGGCGCGAGCTCATCTCCGCCGCGGCAATCCGGGGGGCTGCCATGTACAGGTACGCCGCGCGCACGGAGGGAGCGCGGCGGGGCGGTCTCCTCTGGCACAGCGGCCACGAGATACGGCCGCGAGATATATGTGGTCGGTGGATCCGTGAATGTGGCGAGAGGGGGGTACAGTATTTTGTTGTGTACAATAGCTAAATTATACACATTGCACACACGCACCCCCCCCCCACCACCACCCCAACACACACACTATGAGACCACGCCCCTTGATCAGTCCTCCTGCCGCGCTTTGAACTCTCTTTTCCCAGGCCACTTCACCGGGCACATGAAAACACGCACAGCGCAACCTTATAGATACAATAGACTCAGAGCTCAGAGTCCTGCTCCGGTGCTCCGCAAAGAAAGTCTCTTTTCCCAGGCCACACTCCATCCCGTGCACTGCCTCGGGATATAAAACGCGCCGGCGGGCGGACCTCACAGTCACAGCTGACACAACATGCCGTGCCCCGGGCCGCTCGGATTTGGATGTTTCGGACAGTCAAACTCGGCGGGCAAGGACGGGCGGTATCGCCTTGCGTCCCTTACTCTCTGACGATGGTTGCCCGTGACGCCCGCGCCCCCAACGCACTGCTGCAGAAGATCCAGCGCGCGGTCAATGGCTGGCTACAGCCGGCCCCGCGCAAGGTCAGCGCCAAGAGCCCTCTCGTCACGATGCTTGTGGGCAGGATTCCGGAGCCACCAAGGGCGCGTGACGCGGAGCTCGAGTGCGGCCTGGACGGTGTGGACGATGAGGTCGCCACCGCGCTGCTTCGGCGGCAGGTGACGAACGAGCTGGCAAAGCAGGCCCTCCTGGCGGACATGCGCTCCTTCCTGCAGGCGCACCCGTCGAGCCGCCTCGCGGACTGGGCCCTCGCCAGCGAGTGGGCGCGAGGCACTGGCGGCAGCGTGGACCCGGCCGGCGCGCCGGTGCGGGTGCTCTCGGGCGAATGGCTCGAGTGCTGGAAAATCGCTGCCGCCGACGAGGAGGAGCGCACGAGGGGCTGCCCTCAGCACAACTCCGCTGCCGAGCCCAAAACCTTTGGTGAGTGCACCATCTGCCTCGAGCCGCTCACTTCACTCGATGCAAGGACCGCGCTGCCGTGTGCGCACGTCTTCCACACGGCGTGCGTCAGAGGGTGGTTCAAGTCGCCGTGCTGCACTGAGCGCTCCTGTCCTGTCTGCGCCGAGCGCATATAGACACTCTCGCGCGTGTGCGCTGCACACCAGACGGGTGACGCTCATGGGGCTCATCCTCTCTCCAGCTCATCTCGAGAGACACTCGTCTCCGCGCGAGACAGTGTTTTTCGATCCCCGAGGGCTGATACAGTCAGTGCGTGTCACGGTATTACCTAAGGATGATAAATAGACGCCATCTAGCCAAGACAGTACGGTCCTCGCTCGCATCGAAGCTCCAGGTCTCGTCAAACGGCTCCGCCCCTCTCCACAAAATGAGAGTCGGATGGGTGGCGGTTTGATCGGGTGGAACTCGGCCTGGTTGGCAATGCTGGCTTTCATTAAGCACCTGCAGATGAAGCTGCGCAGCGCACGATGGTCCTCAACACCCGGGTCCGTCTCGCTCACACCCACGATCAGGTGCTGCGCCGACTGCACCGTGTGCTTGATCGCGCGCAGGTGGAGCTGCACAAAGGCGGGGACGGCCGCGAGCATCGAGAGGGGGGTGTAGACGTGAAGCGACTCGATGTCCTCCAGTGCGACGAGTGTGGTCGAAAACTGCTTGCTTGGGGGGGTGCAGCGCTAGCGCCACACCTCGAGTGGGCCGGAACCTGGGCCGAAGTTCTGAACCCCTCCCATGATGACCACCTCCTTCGTCTTGGACATGAAGACTGACTACAGTTCCGAATGATCCTCTGTTTCTCTCTCTTCTCTCACTCTAGCTCTCATCCTCGTCCTGCATTCCTGCTGCGAAACTCTGTTCACGCACGGATGGGCGGGAGCGGAGGTAAAATTCGTTTTGTTCGTGGACGTCCGCAGACTTGTCTGTCACCAGCGACATGACCTCTGCGCCGACGTTAGAGCCGGAGTGCGGCCGAGGGCCAGTAATGGACGACCTGTCTGACTTGCTCGAGCGCCGCCTGGGGGGGCTGATGGTGCTCCGGCTCGAGCTGTCCGACCTACTTGAGAGGCTCACTGAGGAGGAGCATGAGCTGGCGGGCCTGTGAGAGCCACCCTGCTGCCACGGGTCGCTAACCGCCAAGGCCTCGCCGCCGCTGACCCGGCAGTCTCACCCGATAGGCTTCGTTCGATCATGCTGCTGCGGGACCGCGAACGCAGTCAATTTCAGGCAGTGTGACTACACCGCTCCCGTGTTGCTCGCATCTGGGTAACTAACTGCCTGTGCTTACAGGAGCGGCTGAACGAGGCGAACGCCTACGCGCAGCGGCCCGCCTTGCTCGTGGCAACCCAGTCGGTCGCCGCTCCTTCTGGCGGCACACCACCTCCTTTCCACGCGTAGGCTCGAGGCGGAGCTCTCGCACCTGCGACTGCAAGCCGTGGCCAACCGCAGCAGGGGGGGTCCATCGCGAGTCGCTCCCTGCTCCGCCGATTGCGGCTGGCCTCAGGCGGACGGTGATGCCCCAGGCTCCGCGGCCGCAGTCAAGCCCGCCTCGCCCGGCGCCAAAGCGACGAGTGGTAGCGCTACACTCAGCCCTGAACGTGGGGAGGAGGCTCCTGCTGCGGAGAAACTTGCGCGCCGACTCGAAAACGAGCGAGGGCGGCTGAGCTGGGCGAGCCCCAGGATAATCATGGCCGAAGGCGGCGACTTCAAGTTCGACCACGCTGGTCCGGAGGGGGGTCGTGCTGCAGAGAAGTAGGGAGAGTGTGGCGGTAGGCTTACATCCTTGCGTTCAAAAAATACGTCCGCACTGCGGTCTGCGCGCGGGGGGCGGTCGGTGGTAGAAGGAGAGGAGGGAGCGATGCCGAGCACAGGCCTGCACGAAGAACCCGTTTTTCAATTCTTTCTTTTTGCCCACGCAATGGAGACAGAGGTTTTTGTTTTGCGGCACCTGTGCCGCCAAGCCAGCCTCTCTCGGCGCAGCCTCTGAGGCTACGGGGACCCTCTGAGACGGCAAGCGCAAGGCAAGCCCCGCGAGGCCGCTCCTCAGAGGGGGTTTTCAGCGGTATTTCAAGTCTGTCGTGATCCCCCACCAAGCAGAGAGAACCCTCCCCCCCCCTTCCATTTTTCGGATACCTCAAGTTCGAGTTCCAGTCGAGTTCAAGCGGACGCCGCGGCGCCTCATGGCCAAGCTCGAAGCTGGAGCAGGGGAGCGACGGACTGGAGAGATCACTACCTCCTCCTCGGGCGGCCGCTCCAAGCACATCCTCAAGTTGACGGCGCCGGGCCGCGCGAAGCTGGTTCACGCGCAGGGCACGGCGCAGGCGCTGTGGTAGAGCCTGCAGCAGTAAGCGTGTGTGGTGCCGGGCGCGCTTGCGAGCGTATAGAGTAGCGCCTTAGTCATGGTCGCTGTGAAAAGTCATATGTTTTACTGCCGCCCCTCCCCGCCCTCACTGGTCAGCGCCGTTCGTGGAGGGCTAGGCAGCTCCGCCTCCGCCCGGGGCTCTCGCCTCTGCCGTGAGGGGGCTACCCTCTGAGGTCAAAGCCCTCTGTGCCGCGCCAAGACAGACCCTCGGCCAGGGACCCTCTGAGGCCAAAATCAGCCAAGAGAGGCCACAGAGGCGGCACAGAGTCAGAGTCAAACCCTCTGTGCCGCCAAGCCAGGGGTCCGACCCGTCCTCAGAGGGGGGGGTCTGAGGCCTCAGAGCGTGTGCAACCCCCTAGTCACAAAAGACAAAAGCTTTGATCCCAATCACGACACATGTTTGACTCGCCTAGTGTGGAGACGCCGTGTACCGTGGGGCCTTGTTGTCCTAGCACGGGGGTACCCGTGTGGTAAAATCGACAAAAAGAATTCACCCTGGGGCCTGTGTCGTACGACTCCAAGATCCGGCTGCACTCCGGTAAGATCCCATTGTGGATGTCCTACAACTCCATTGTGGATGGGTTCAAGTGCCTCGAGCCGTGCAGCGGCACCGGCGGTGCGTGGAGCCTCTTCGCACAGTCGGCGCTAAATAAGTTCACCTGGACGTGCCGAGACCACCTCGCCTCCTCGAGCTGCTTCGCGACCCGCACGGACCTAGGCTGCGACTGTTCCGGATGCTGCCTCGGGCGTGCTCCGCCCACCGACGGCCCGTGTATGAAGAAGTGCGCCGGGGCCTACTGCCTCAATTTTGTCCAGAAAATGGACTGTGCGCAGACGCAGACGCTTGGATGCGACTGCTCCGGCTGCTGCGCAGGAGCCAGCGCGCCGTCACCGCCGTTACCGCCGTCGCCGCCGCCGCCGCCGCCGCCGTCACCGCTGCCGGAACCACCGCCGCCGCCGGAACCACCGCCGCTGCCGCCTCCCTCGACGCCGCCGCATCCCTTGACGCCACCGCATCCCTCGACGCCGCCGCCGCCGCCGCCGCCGCTGCCGCCGTCGCCGCCACCGCCGCCGCCGGAACCACCGCCGCTGCCGCCTCCCTCGACGCCGCCGCCGCCATTACCGCCCCCACTGCCACCGGCGCCGCCGGCACCGAGCCCGCCGCCGCCTCCCTCGCCACCGCCGCCGCCGCCTCCCTCGACGCCGCCGGCGCCGCCGCCGCCGCCGTCACCGCCGGCGCCGCCGCCTCCGCCGCCTCCCTCGCCACCGCCGCCGCCGCCGCCACCTCCCTCGCCGCCGCCGCCGTCGACGCCGCCGCCGCCGCCTCCCTCGCCGCCGCCGCCGCCGCCTCCCTCGACGCCGCCGCCGCCGCCGCCGCCGCCGTCACCGCCGGCGCCGTCGCTGCCGCCGCCTCCCTCGCCACCGCCGCCGCCGCCGCCACCTCCCTCGCCGCCGCCGCCGTCGCCGTCGCCGCCGCCGCCTCCCTCGCCGCCGCCGCCGCCGCCTCCCTTGACGCCGCCGCCGCCGCCGCCGTCGCCGTCACCGTCGCCGCCGCCGCCTCCCTCGCCGCCGCCGCCGCCTCTCTCGAGGCCGTCGCCTCCCTCGACGCCGCCGCCTCCCTCGACGCCGCCGCCGCCGCCGCCGCCGCCGCCTCCCTCGCCGTCACCGTCGCCGCCGCCGCCTCCCTCGCCGCCGCCGCCGCCTCTCTCGAGGCCGTCGCCTCCCTCGACGCCGTCGCCTCCCTCGACGCCGCCGCCGCCGCCGCCGCCGCCGCCTCCCTCGCCGTCACCGTCGCCGCCGCCGCCTCCCTCGCCGCCGCCGCCGCCTCTCTCGAGGCCGTCGCCTCCCTCGACGCCGTCGCCTCCCTCGACGCCGCCGACGCCGCCGCCGCCGCCGCCGCCGTCGCCGCCGCCGCCTCCCTCGCCGCCGCCGGCGCCGCCTTCCTCGACGCCGCCGCCGCCGGCGCCACCGCCGCCTGCCTCGGCGCCGCCGCCTCCCCCGCCGACGACGCCTTCCTCTCTCGACGCCGTCGTCTACATCGCCGACGCCGCCGCCACACTCGAGGCCGTCGACTCCCTCGACGCCGCCGCCGCCGGCGCCACCGACGCCTGCCTCGACGCCGCCGCCTCCCCCGCCGACGACGCCTCCTCTCTCGACGCCGTCGTCTACATCGCCGACGCCGCCGCCAC